CTCGTTGCTTTGCTCCGTTATCCGCATCTTTCTGGGATTAAGCCTATACTTTAGTCCATGTGTGCTTTCACGAGTGAACGCTTGAAGCCCAGGTCTCAGCCGGCAAGATGTACTTGGCCTGGAGGTTCTTCCACTGGCCTTGCTGCGATGTCGGTATGCAGGGATCGCAAGAATATCGCCAGCGCTGATTCAGGCAGCAAGCAAAGCTCGGGACCAAGGCACTGCGTCTGCTTCCTGCAACTGCGATTTGGCTTACGGCTGCTGGGTGTTGTGCTCATTACGATAGGTCCTGGAGTCTGTGCGGTTTGCCCCTGACGGAAGCATCTGGAGAGGAACTGCACTGTTTGCTGGCCGACTCGATCGCACGGACTCCGGCCTCACTCGTCTGGCCAAAAGTCCTCATCCAGCGAGGACAGCCGCTCGCTGTATGGCATGTGGGAGGCTTGGGATCGAGCAAAGTCGTCCGTGACATCACGCAACGGATCGTATGCAAGCCAACCGCATACGAAACGGCAGCATGTTTGCACCTTAGCGCATCGGGTGAAATGCCCTTGCGCTCCCGATCCGGACGTCAAGTTTCGCGATTTCTGAACGTAAGTCTTGACATTAAACAAGCCGGCATTACTCCGTCGTACACATACCACTGCCTCCCCCAACGCCAATACCAGCGCCCATCGCTCCTGTCGGCGGGGTGCAGCCATGCTTATGTAGCGCGCTCGGCAGTGGTTCGATCCTCCGAAGTAGTGCCCCCGTGGAACCTCGTACTTCACGACTTTCTCTCCGGCCATGGCCTCGGAACAACGACATCGAATCCGCCGGTCTCAAGCTCTCCATGCCGGCCTCGAGCGAAACAAGGAGTGTGCCACGGACCCGCCGCAGAACGCGTGTGCGAGGAGTTGCTCGAGCCGCAAGACGGACCCATGATGACCACCACGAAAGCTGTCCAGCGCTGTACCCGTGGAGCAGGACATTGCTGTCACATACTTATAGAAGATGCTAGCTGCTAGTTGACCATGCTGGTTTCCACCTAGCAAGGCAAAAACAAGCATGCTAGTTGCACACGCTCGTTTCCGTGTGCCAAGACAAAACAAGGATGTTGGGTGGACACGCCGGCTTCATCCTGCAAAAGCAAGGATGCTAGTTGTCCACGCTGGTTTCCATTTGCCGTATCAAAAAGCAAGCTTCGAAGCAAGGATGTTAGTTGCACACGCTGGTATACATCTGGCACGCATTGCACACGCTGGGTTCCTTTTGCCAAACAAAAAGAAGGATGCTAGTTGACTGGCTGGTTTCCATCTAGCAAGGCAGACACAAGGATGCTGGTTGCACACGCTGATCGTCAGGATTAGTGTCTGCGCGGAACGCCTTTTTTCCACCAGGAAACACGATGAAGTCATCGGCTCCGCGCGGTCCTGAAGTTGTGTTTGCTCGAGAGTTGCACGTGCGAACGAAGTTCTGAGGATCGGACACACTCGAATGCATGGCTTCCGCATGCGTTCGAGGATGAACTGGCAGCAGCCCGATCTGGTCAAGCGGAACCTCGCACGACGGTTCGAGCGAAGGGAATGGTGTCCGGAGTAAGGCCCTCGCTTGCTGACGCCGATGTCCTCTGCCAGCCACGTCATTTGCCTACAGGCCGAGTCGCATAGTTTAAGGAAGCTAGACCACTAATCACGGGCCTCAAACGGTGCTCGATGACCAGCTGAGTGGCGACGACATGCTTGTCGGCAGAGGTCGTGGGCCAATCCACGACCTTGAAAAACTTGCATTCTCTTACGTTTGACGGCTCTGACACTGCCTGCCGGTAGATGGTGTAAACGAAGTCGCCTAGCAATCAAGAACTTTCACCCATGGAACGAGTCTTACACGTTCCTGCTGGCCCCGGAGCAAGCCGTGTCTGACCGAGTATGTACTACAAAATGCTTCGGGAGTTAAGCCTGAGATGGGAATCTGCTCAATACGAGTCTTGAAATGTTTGTCTTGATGTACCACGAACAGCCATTGTCTGACCAAGGAGGGGGAGCAGGATCTACCGAGAACAGCCACAGTCTAACCGAGGAGGCGGAGCAAAGGCGATGATGATGATATCGACGCTCTCTCTCTCTCTCTTCGCCTCCTCCCTCCTCTCTCTCTCTCTCCTTCACTCACGCCTAGCGCCTCCTCTCTCCGTGCCTCTCTCTCTCTCTCTCCTCCGTTCTCCTCTCCTCTCTCTCTCTCTCTCTCTCTGTCTCTCTCTTTCTCTCGTTCTCCCTCTGTCTACCCTTTCTCTCTCGCTCTCCCTTTTCCTCTCTCTCTCTCTCTCTCTCTCTCTCTCTCTCCTCTCGCCTCTCTCCCTCGCTATCTCTCTCTCTCTCTCGCCGGCTCTCTCTCTCTCTCTCTCTCCTCTCTCTTTCTTTCTTCTCTTCCTCTCTCCGCTCTCGCCCTCACTCGCTTCTGTCCTGTTCTGGCTGCGTTTCCACACCACCCAGGAGGTAGCAGCCTCGGCGCCTTGCGACTTTTTTTAAGGAGGTGTCCATCCCCAGTAGGGATACCCTTCCTCCGGAGACACACGAACAAAAGCAAGTATTAGGAAAGAAGACCATTGTGAAACGAAACTATCTGGAATGTGAAATTTTCTGAAATTTCAAACAACAACAACACGATCAAAACACGGCGGTATATAAAAGTAACTCTTGTCAAACGAATCTATCTTGCAAGTGAAATCTTCTCTACCTCAAAGTATGACAGAAATCCACGCTCAACAATCGAGGACGACAGAAGGCTCACGACGCGAATGATTGTGTCAAGTTAACGTATCCATCGATGTAAAATCGATTGTAACTCCAAAGTAATATGAAAAAGAGGTTAAAGAGGACGTACTTCCACATACAAAGTTCTCGATATACACGTACATACATACACACACATATACATATATGTATATGTCCACCTCTAAGTACCGAGACTTTTTTCATACCCGCCACGCCCATGTCCTGTTCACTCCTCGCGCCGACCTAAGTTGCGATTGCTTGCACGTTAGCTCCGAGTAAATCTAAACTCGGTGCCCGACGCTTCAGGGCGGGCGGTCGCATGTGCATGTACATCAGGCGCCGCGGGATCCACCGTTTTGTCAGCAAGGTCCTGGTCGAGCAGGGGTAGAGACCGTACTCGTCCTGATACCAAGGCCCCGGCACGTCGAACCCGTTCGAGTCGGCATAACGCTCCAATGTCCTGTCAGCCGCAGTTGCGAAAGGAAAGATACCAACCTAAGCGACCGGGCCTGAGACGGTACTCTACCGTCATATGGAACGCGTGCACGAAAAGGTCACTGCTGGTGGTGGGCCAGTCGTCCAGGGCCTCCAGGGCCTCCAACAACTACATACGTTCTCGTTCAATGCCGTTCTAATCCTTGCCTTGGTGTACGCCGCGTGGATTAAGTCGCCTGGTGACGGGACGATGGGCAAAGCAAGGAAAAGGACCTGACCCCTATCAAGCCAATCGCGCCTTCAGCCACCTTTGCCAGCATCACCTTCTCGCGAGCGTGCACCTGCCACTGAAGTCTTGCAGAAATCATCTCACTAGCTCTCCTCAGCCTCGTCCGCGACCTTCCAAGTCCACCACTTTGGGAACCTCAGTGGGAATAAAGAAAGCTCCTGCAGAAGAACTGCTGCTTACTATCCAAGACGGCCACTGGAACGGGGGGATCTCGAACTCAACCGGTTTTAGGCCCAGAATGGAGGGGACCTCGAGATCGGCCCTCCGGCCCAATAAAAACGTTATTCTATGAACAGAATTTGTCACCCAAAACGCCAACCCCAAAATCCAGGAAATGTGGCTTTCAGTTTAGCAAACCCCCATTCAAGGTTCATTAACAGGGTTTTCCAAACCCTATGGTTTAGCAAACCCCCATTCAAGGTTTATTAAACCCTAATTTAGGGTTTAGCAAACCCTAGGGTTTAGCAAACACCCATTCAGGGTTTATTAACTAATTTAGGGTTTAGCAAACCCTAGGGCTTAGCAAACCCCCACTCAAGGTTTATTAATTCTTAATTTAAGGTTTAGCAAACCCTAGGGTTTATTTAGGGTTTAGCAATCCTAGAGTTTAGCAAACCCCATTCATTTAGGGTTTAGCAAACCCTAGGGTTTAGCAAACCCCCACTCAGGGTTTATTAATTCTTAATTTAAGGTTTAGCAAACCCTAGGGTTTATTTAGGGTTTAGCAATCCTAGAGTTTAGCAAACCCCATTCAGGGTTTATTAAACCCTAATTCAGGGTTTAACAAACCCTAGGGTTTAGCAAACCCCCATTCAGGGTTTATTAAACCCTAATTCAGGGTTTAGCAAACCCCCATGCAAGGTTAAAAAACTAAAAAAAAACTAAAAAAAAATTTAAAAAAAAGAAAAAAGGCCAAAAAATTCAAGAAAACCCAAAAAAAACCCAAAAAAAACCCAAAAAAAAACCAAAAAAAAAACCCCAGTTTAGGATTCTCAAAAAGGCACCCCGCACACGAAGCAAGCTCAATAAACCCTAAACCCCTGAGCCCTAAACCCTAAACCCTAAACCCCTGAGCCCTAAACCCTAAACCCTAAACCCCTGAGCCCTAAACCCTAAACCCTAAACCCCTAAACCCTAAGCCCTAAATCTTCAGCCCTAACCTAAAATCTCAATGCGGAATCCCGGCCCTAAACTCGCCCAAACCCCGAACCACAGAACACAAGACCGTGAATCCTACAGTCTAGGGTTTAGGGTTTAGGGTTTATAACCCTAAGGCTCCATAGTAGTTCCTTTTGGGGATTATATATTTAGCATCTTATGAGGTAATCCCCCAAAAAAACTATTATGGGGCCTCTGGGTAAACCCCCATGAACCTCTGATGAAGCCAGACTAGCTTCGTTACAACCCGCGCAACACCCGAACCGAATATAAATCGCAAACCCTACATCCCATACCCCTAAACCCTAAACCATAAGTGCTAAAGCCCTACACCATAAACTGTGAAGGTTAGACCATGCCAAAGCCACGAGGAGGAGAGGACCGGGACAGGAACGGCCTCAGATGGCCTGGAGCCGCCCGTCTTGGGGCTTGTTCTAGACCTAAGAGTAACTTAGGAATAAACAGGGTGCCCTTTTTGGAAAGGTGGTTATAAGGGAACCTAAACCCTAAAGAAAAAAGGAATAAGGGCCTGCTCTGGGTCCTAGTGTTTTAGCTCTGGCAAGGCGTTGTTGCAGGACTCTAAACCCCAAAACCCTGAACCGGCTGTGGGTTTAGGGTTTAGGATTTAGGGTTTAGGATTGAAGGTTTAGGTTTAGGACTTAGGGTTTAGGGACCTAAACACTCTCTAAAAGCTTTTAAAGGGTTGCTTGTGAGTCTAGGGCTTTGGGATGCTTGGGGCTTCTGGAGGCCTTCCAAACGACTTTTTCAGATTTGGCTCTGCAGCTCCTGTTCAGCCCTAAACTTCACCCGAGTTTAGGGGTTAGGATTTTAGGGGTTTGGGGGTTTAGGGCCTTCCGTAGCCCTACTTGTCGGGTATCATGGGGAACTAAAGGTCAACCTTTTTTGGTCATATACGGGATATGTACGGGCTATGCTACCCAAAAAGGTTAAAGGTTGCCGACTCTACTACTAGGTGTTCAGCCCTAAACTTCACCCGAGTTTAGGGGCTTAGGGGTTTAGGGTTTGTTTACGGGTTTAGGGTTTTAGGGGTTTAGGGTTCCTACTTGTCGGGTATCATGGGGAACCGAAGGTTAACCTTTTTGGTTATATAGGGGATATGTAGGGGCTAAACTACTCAAAAAGGTTTAAAGGTTGCCGACTCTACTACCAGGTGTTCAGCCCTGAACTTCACCCGAGTTTAGGGGTTTAGGGGTTCAGGGGTTTAGGGTTTGTTTAGCGGTTTAGGGTTTTAGGGGTTTAGGGTTTTAAGGGTTTTAGGGGTTGTGGGGTTTAGGGGTTTGGGGGGTTAGAAGTTTAGGATTTGAGGGTTTAGGGGTTTAGGAATTGGTTTAGGGTTTGGGGGTTTAGGGTTTTGGGGGTTTGGGGTTTTAAGGTTTTAGGGGTTTAGGGTTTCGGGGTTTGGGGGTTGTGGGGTTTTGGGGTTTGGGGAGTTTAGGGGTTTAGGGTTTGGGGGTTTAGGGATTGGGGGTTTAGGGTTTAGGGGTTTGAGGCTTTCGGGGTTTAGGGGTTTAGGGTTTAGGGGTTTAGGGTTTTGGGGTTTTAAGGGTTTTCGGGGTTTAGGGTTTAGGGGTTTAAGGGTTTAGGGCCTTAGGGGGTTTTGGATTTGGGGCCTTAAAGCATTTTTGAGTTCTGGTTTAAAGCGTCTGCGGAGCTAAGCTACAGGGCCCAGGAGAGTCGAGGTAGCAGGGTTTGGATTCTCCGGGTTAGGGTTTCGGGATGACGAAATGGGGCTTGAGCAATCATAAGTAAGGAGAGTGATGGCGCTTTGAATGGGCTTCCAAAACGATGCGCAGGTCAGATTGCTTAGGCTGGCTTGGTTTGACATGTTGGTGGGTACCAGAACTCCGGTCAATGCCTCTGTCGCATAACTTGGCGATGCTGCTTCGGGCTTGTGCAGCTTGTAGTTCAAGTTGTTGTTGACAAAGTCTTTGACAAATGTAGGTACACTGCCAGTCGCGAACGTGACATGCTCGAGAGTTGCATGCCGACTGGAAAGCAGTGGCGAGAAGCTGTTTGACTCCCTTGTTGCCCCGACAAGCTTCAAGTACCCATAGGCCCCAAAGTAGTTCCTTTTTGGGATTGCCTTATAGGATTCTATATACGAGCCCCCAATAGGAACTACTTTGGGGCCTTAGGGTAGGCCTCAGCTATGTCTGGCGCGTTCGCAGCCATTTTGAGCGCCAACGCTGAAGCAGCGATCAGAGTCTTTCCAGAGACTCCAATACCCCTTAATTAGGGAATATTCCTTAAATCATATTAGGGATCCTACTGTAATTAAAGGTATATTCCTTAATTAAGGGATATTGGAGTCTCTGGGTTTCCCAGAGCCGTACAGTCGTCACCTGCATTGCTCACGACTGTTTTGGCAGCGCCGTTGAGGGCCTTGGTGATCGCGGCGACCGCTGCAAAGCGTTCAATCCTTGAGGTACCGGTTGGTTCATCAGGATCAACACGCTGTCCTTGCCGTATCCATCAAAGTCTATGGACGTCGAGAACACTTCCGTGCTGGTTTTGCCATTGCTTGGACTGCTATTAGGTTACCAATCCGTCAAGCCGGTTTGATGAGCCTTTTGTGGCTTCGACACCAATTCCGGATTTTTCCTGGCTGTTAGGTGGCAGGTTTTGTGCGTGGGGGCGGGAGGCGGGAGCGGGGGTATTCTGAAAATGTGAGGGATACCTCCTTTCGGAATCCCCTTGGTACGAACCCGTATCTAAGGTTTCGCTCTAACAGGTCATTCCCTACTGTCTAAATAACCCTAGACCCCTGAATCCCTAAACCTCTTGACCTCTTAACCTCTAAACCCTACGCTTCTGAACCCCAGACCTCTTTAAACCCTACCTAAAAAGACCTCCATGGTAATTCCTTGTTTTTGGTTAACCAAAATCTCTATTATACGATCTTGACCATAAAACTGGTTAAGCAAAAAAACGAACTGCAATGGAGACTCTAGGTAAACTCGTCTATGCTAACACCCTAGAACCCGCAGAGGAGCTGTCGGGGCCTCACGGAACGGCACGGAAGTGCAGGCGAGGCCAAAGCCTGGAACAGAGTTTAGGGTTTATAGGGTGTGGGGTTTAGGGTTTGCGGTTTAGGGATTGGAGTTTAGAGTTTGTCTCTTAGGGACTCTCTGTCTCTTCGTGGTTCGCTTTGTTGTCTTGTCAAATTGTGTGTTGGGTCTTGCCGGTTAAACAACTGCTTTGTCATTTGTGGCATTGTTGTGTCATACGTGTCATTGTTTTGCGATGTGTTGTGCTTGGAACCCTTATAGATCCTTTTAAGGAACCCTTTAAGGAACCCTTATAGATCCCTTTAAGGATCCCTTTAGTGTTGTTGTTGTTGTTGTTGTTGTTGCTGTTGCTGGGCCTATTGGCTTTGGGGCTAAGGCCTGTTGGGTTTAGGCTTTCGCTCGGGGTCTGGGTCCAGGGGCTGAGACTTTGGCTGCGGGGGAGTAAGATTCAGGATATCTTTGCGGCTTATCGTTCGGCGTTGGGGATCGGACTCTAGGCTCTGCGGTCTTGGCTGCGCTGTGGCGACCGGGCACCTCAAATGAAGCCAAGCACCAGCTTGAGGTGACAATGTCCGACAACGATACATGCCAGCCGGCTTGCGAGGAAGATGTGTTTGTAGAGATACAAACACCAAACCTACCTCGTCGAAGGGATAGGTCCCTGCTTCTGAAGGGAATGTGACATGCGAGCACAGCAGAAGGACCCAGCCCTGCACGCAAACTCAGGTGAAGATGCTGACGACACCAACCTCAGCCCGAAACCCCGAACCCTGAACCCTAACCCTGACCCCTAAACCCTAAACCCCAAACCCTAACCCTAGGACGACAGGAGGGCAAAGGCACGGAGGGGAGCAAGAATTAAGCCTTAACTGTCTGGTGCTCAGAAGGGACTGGGGGAATGGATCCCTATAATAGTCCCTATATAATCCCCAATAATAGTGCCCAGAACCCATCCACCCATTGCCTACTACGAACCAGACAGATTAAGCCCTAAAGCTTCTACAGCGCGAAACTGAGAAGTCCAGAGCCACACTCCTTCGATCCCTTTGCCTACCCAAAGTGTCATATGAACCTCTACAAATACATTTACATGTGTATATATATATATATATGTAACTATATATGTATATGTATATGTGCATATATGTATATATCTATATATATATATAGAGTAGAATCTGAATTGGAGAAGGATGCCCCCATAATCGTACCTATAGGCCCTCTGAGCTAGCCTGGACGATTCGCTGCACATCTGCCGTGACGCAGACCTGTCAAACTTTCAACTTCCGATTTCTGATGGGCTGAGTTTTCAGACTTCAGGTTGGCCGGATTATACCTATAGTCTCCATTGTAGTTCCTTTTTTGGGGTTACTTTATAGGATCCAAATTACATATTTGGTTAAGCCCAAAAAAGAAATACAATGGAGACTACAGGTAGGGTATGATATTGGTATGATATCCTACAGAGCCTTGTGGGTTCATGCAAGTAGCTACAAGGTTTTGGAGCTTGATGAAAAGTGCAGGGTTTACGGATCCAGGTTGCGAGGGTATGGGGCAGCGCGGTACCTAAGCCTTAAGCCCCAAAACCCAAGCTCTAAGCCCTTGGCCCTAAACAACACACAGGCCCCTATAGACTCTGGTTTGCTCAACAAGGCGTAAGATCCTCGTGTAACTTTGAGTTGAGGAGTGGAGGCTTGCCTGAAGCCCTGAGTAACCTACTGTGTCAAGGGTTCTGTATCATGAGCTCCCTATGTTTTGTAAGTCCTCAAAGATGCAGGTTTTACAGGGCCCCGGTAGGGCTGATGTATGAACCAGGCCCAAGTATCCTTTGATGAAGCCGAGAAGGTATTTAGGGTGTTATGCAAGGTAGTTGAGGGCTCTACGCAGGGCTTCAGGTTTGAGGTGCAGGGTTTAAGGGTTCGGATTCATGATGCACGGTTCGGGGTTACGGGTTCAAGGGTTGAGAGTTTAATACAGGGGCCTAAATAATTGGAATAGGGTTTGGGGGCCCATTACACCATAATTAAAGTAGAAGCCAGAAAGTTGGAAAATCATTCTCCTGGTAGCCTTAAGGTAAAGCAAGAGGGATTCTAGCACGTATCATCCAAAATCCATGTTCCAACTTTCTGGGGTTAGCTGTCTAGTGAGGAACCCACAACATAACTAGTATTATATAGGCCCCTACATCAGGCGTCGAGTATCTTCGCGCTCGGGCCTCAGGGGATCAAGATTGCAGGGCCCATAGAAACAAAGGGTAAAAGGAGGGACCCTTAATAAGGTCCCCTAGGTATACACAGCCATTATGTACCCATTATATAGCCCATTATAGGGTAGGGGTCCCATTAAAGGTCCCTCCTTTTCCCTTTTGATAGATGCAAGCCGCGGTGACTCAGCAGACCGTTCTCTTCTCTTGACACATCTGCTCCGATGTCAGGTAAAACACAAAATTTTCCCTTCCTAATATAACCTGGGCTTTCAAGTGACCAGCTGCCTGTTTTTCATGCTGGTCCCCTTGAAGTAAAGTAACAGGCCCCAAAAACATAGTAAAGCATGGTCCTCCAAAGCACAGTAAGATACTGAATAAGACCATCATATAGAGCCAGATGGAAATGTCACGGAGTTGGGGCCATGGTAGAGCCAGACCAGTAATCAACGTCGTCACATTCATCCTGTTGGACACGTTCTTCAAATTATGTGTCGCCACATCGTTCAGTTCAAATGACATGAGCCTGTGCTCCACACTATCACCGCAGCCTCTAATTCGTTGCAAAAAGGAGTGAGCTTTCAGTCCAACATCTCAAAGCCATAGACGAAAACAACCAAAGACCTAAATCCCAAACCTTGAACTCTGTCAGCCCTCCAACTCAGCGGGAAATCCAAAACCCTCAGCCTTATCAGCCCTCTAAACCCCAAACCCCCTCGCCTCAATCCCTCATCCGCAAAGTGCTCCAATTGCGAACATAGCACACTACAAATCCGCGAAACCCGCAAACTCTTGACTCCTCTTTCACACAGCCTCTCGATGCTGGATGCCCGGTGTTCTCATTACCTGGCAACGGTGCAGGTTTCGGATGAGCGGGTGTTGGAATTGAGGTTCAAGAACGATCTGAAAGGCTTGCACAAGAGGTCTAGATAGTGTCTTTAAAACAAGGTTCTGTGTGGTTCTTACGAATTCGATTAAGGCTTTGTTTACTTCTGCATTTCAGGGCTTCGGGATACGTGTGTCGGGTGATTGAGAGTACATACCGAGCTAGACCCTACCCCAGAACCGTAATTATTCTAAGGATTGAGGGCCGGTCCGTTTTGCACCGGCCACACATGAAGGATCCTACCGATGTTGCCGATCAGAGTCTATAGCATGGTCGCCTAAATAATAGTATATCCCAGGGGACGAGCTCAATGCTTAGAGACAAGTCTTAAACAATCTTTAACAAGACGTTGTGACTTTGGGGCGTGCCTCCCGATGCTGCAATGCCGGTGTCCGCAGCACCTGCACTCGAACATCGGGACAGAATCCTGCCTTGGTCGGTAATTACCCCTTATTGTCGGCAGGTAAAAACTGCTACGTGGTCTCGTACCTAAAGTATGCCAATATGTTATACATATACACTTCACTGGTGGCATAGATGGTGAATGATACTCGTTTGCCAAGCATTGCAAAATCCTAAGCCCCAAACCCTCGCTTGCAAACATTGGCTGAACCCGACATCTTAAACTTGAACCATGGAACCTGAATCGCCCCAGACAGAAAAACACGTAAAACCTTACCATACCCTATCAAGCCCTGGCGAAGACAAGACAACACAAACTGAAACCATAATGCACTTAGAGCAAGGCGCTCGAACCGAACGGGAACGCGACGAACCCACGCCGAACGTGTGCTCGGAACGCGTGCTCGAGCGGCGAGGGCTACAGAGCTGCCCTGCCCTGCGGTCGTGCGGCATCTACCGCCCTGTACGGCATGAGTCATGATACCCTGAAAAGGACCCTGAATATGAACACTCTATCGAAACCCCGTTATGCAACCCTACTTGGAGTATAGTCCTTATTATGGGTCATGCAGGATTTATATCATCAACCGTAGCTAGCCAGAACCCCCGAAGCCCCTGCAGGGCGATCGATGCCTCTCGATGCTCGACAGCAGGTGTTCGGAGCACCTGAGTCGGACGATCGAGAACGAATTCTAGGGGCTTTATTCGGGGGCCTGAGTAATTAGAGTAGGGTACCCTTTAAAGGGTATCATAAGGGTTCCTCTAAGGGTTGCAGGGGCTTGAATATGTACTTGGAGTAGGATTCTGGGGCCCATTCTACTATAACATACTATAACTACGATAAGGAACCCCCAAAATGGTATAGGTAATTATTAAGGTGCCTATAGTACTATTAGGGCTGAGGGATATAAAGGTTTACGCTTTGGGGTTCAGGGTTATGGATTCGGAGGTTTGGGAGTAATTATCATTTCGAAATGGGCTCTGAAAGGGAATGCTCGTACTAATTATTCAGACCACTGTCTTTTGTGGCGGGAGTTCTGCGGACGCTTAAGGCTGTTAGGATATCTGTCCGGGTCCAAATGCGGTGGGGTTTCTGCTTGAGGGCTGATTGCTTGGGCATGTCGGTGCCAGGGTTAGGGAGCTCGCCATTAAGGCTCTACGCGTGCAAGTAATGTCCTAAACTTACCTTTGGTTAGTAGGGAATGGAGGAATGGGGTACAAGTATAACTACTATTACTACCATTCTTCCATTCCCTACAAACCAACGGTAAGAAAGAGGTTTGGTGGTTGTGCAATTTGGGACTCTTCGGGGCTTTCGGGGACGGGTGGCATTTTGGGGGGGTGTAAGGGCTTCGAAAGCCCTAATTCCACAAAAAACCAAACTTATCCTTGCTACAGCTTTGATGTTCGCTGGCTCCAAGCTGCTGACCCGCAACCCGAACATGCCCGGAGGCTTGTAAGCTCGGAAAGCCCTGGACCCCCCCAAAAATCTCCCAAACTCTTAGCCGAAAGCCCTGGCTAGACCCATCAAACACACACCCTACGCCCTCAACCCCATACCCAAAACCCTGCACCCTAAACCCTACTAAAGCCACGATAAGCCCTAAATGCAAAACACAAGTGGTTCCTGCCTCTCTGTGTTGCACGGCAGGCGTTCGAACAACCTGCGGTGGATCATGGAAGGAACGAGTTCATTGTGTGCGACAAAAGTGGCAAGGACCCTGTAGGAACAGTTTGACCTACTATGTGGACTTGAAGAATTAGTAAGGACGCCCCATTGCAGTTCCCGTACAGTTTTATACTGTTCTATACTCCAGCGACCTATTCTCACATGACCCTGTATTATCCATGTGAGAGTCTCTGGGGGTTTCGGGTTTCGTTTTCCGAGGTATCGGGAGTTGGAGTTTAGAACTCAATTGGATTAAACACCCTCATATGGGTAGTTCTCAAAATTTGGGTAAACCGGGACCCCGATTTGGAGACTACCTATATGGATCCAGGAGGAAATACGGGGGATCCTTATCAGTCCTGTAGAGAGTAAAGGAGATATGGCATATATATATATATATATATATATATATATTCTAGACTAAAGCCCTAAACCCTTAAACCCTAAACCGTGAGTGGCCCCTTTACAATAGGGGTACCCTTTTTCCTATCTTTCGGTTGTTAATAAGGAGACCCTAAGACACAAAGGGCAAAGGGTACTACTCAGCAACCTAGTATTGAGGTGCTTGGGTTTTAGGATGCGGGGTGCTTTAGTGTAGACCCCTGTATCGGCTCTTAGCTGTTTAGGCCGTCTATGATTGTATAGGGTTACTTGGAGGTTCATGGGTAGTTATAAGGGGCTTAGTTATAAGTGGCCTTATAATTAGCATAACTACGGCTATAACCCCTATTCGGGGACTTACAACCCAATGTCTAACTATCCTTGAACCTCCAAGTATAATTAGATATCTAGGTTTGCTAAAGTTTGTTTTGCATACCCCACTGGATCCTGTTAACACCTGCCTATTGTGTCTGTGATGCGGGGCATGCCGTATCCTACAATGACTAGGACTTGGGGCCTGTGTTCTCAACCTTTCAGCCAAGTTATCTCAGAAGTCGAGATCTCATCCAGGCTCTTTTTTACAGGAGTGACAGACTCATGGTGAAGCCCACAGCCCCTACACCCGAAAGTCCTAAACCCGAGAACCTCAATCAAAAACCCTGAAACGCAAACCCCAAACGCCTACAGTAGCAGCCCAAAAAATGGAAACCCCGTAGCCTCAATCACTAAGAGTCCCAGCACTTTTTGGCCTTAATCCGGTCTTTAACTTTATGGGTTATACTGTAACCCCACCCTACATAAGGCCCCAAAGTAGTTCCTTTTGGGGGTTCGTATATAGAGTCCTATAAGGTAATCCAAAAAAGGAACTACTTTGGGGCCTATGGGCAAAGTGGCCGCAGGGCTGCAAAAGCCCAGAAAAGTCAGCTTGGAGGCCTCGCGATGCTGCATCGCAGGAGTTCGGATCACCTGTGACGGCTTCGAAGGGTTTAGGAGTTTAGGTGTTTGGGGGTTTAGGGGTTTAGGGTTTGGGGGTTTAGGGTTTAGGGGTTTAGGGGTTTAGGGGTTTAGGGTTTGGGGGTTTAGGGTTTGGGGGTTTAGGGGTTTAGGGTTTGGGGGTTTAGGGTTTGGGGGTTTAGGGGTGTAGGGTTTGGGGGTTTAGGGGTTTAGGGTTTGGGGGTTTAGGGTTTTCGGGGTTTAGGGGTTTAGGATTTAGAGTTTTGGGGTTTATTATTTAGGGCTTAGGGTTCAGGGGTCTGGGCTTGGGTGTTTTTTCCAGGTTAGTCTAGGACAGGATAGAACTTGACACCCGCGCCTCTGTAGTCCTACTGCGAGGTTAAAACGGTTGAATGTAGGAACCTGATTCAGAAACCTTGGGCCCTCATTAGGGTTCATGATATGAACTCTACTATTTTGGGGTTATATGCCGACGCTATAGACATCGCCTCCCTCGTCGCTCTTCACCTCAGTCGGTCGTCGATCAGCTTTTTGTGTTTACTCTTCTGGCGACACGAGGAGTTTGCGTTGGCCTCCAATCTGTCGGGAAGTGCCAATCTATGATCTATGGGGACCAGCCTCGCACAACCAGTGCTTCAGTTTCAGTGTCTCCCCATTGAAACGCCGCTGCTGCCTGGACTGGCTCGTCGTGGAGGGGATCAAGCAGCTGGAAGTGGGGTGTGGTCCGACATCGCGACATGCTTGAGGAGGAGTGGCGCCAGTGGCATGGTCTGGACGACTGCCTCGCCCAGGATCAAGTGCCGTGGAGTGGAATGGTCTGGACGACTGCCTCGCCCAGGTCAAGTGCCGTGGCATCCGCAAGAAGCTGAACAACTTCGTCGCGCTGCCTCGAGAACGAACAATCAGATGATTGGCTCAATCCTTTCTCTGCGGTTTGGTGGCTGCAGCTGGGCAAACTCACCTCCCAATGGGTAGGGTTTAAGGGTTTAGGAGTTAGGGTTTAGGGTTTGGTGGTCTAGAGGTTCGGGAGGGTTTAGGGTTTAGGGGTTGACGGTTTAACAAAAGATGCAAAGAGTCTGAACTGGAAGAAAATCTTCGGGCAGGGTTCGTCATCACTGATTCGAGCAAGCCCCTGACGGAAAGCAGGAATGTTTGTTGTAGGGGCCTTAATAATTAGAATAGGGTTTGGGGGTTATATTATACGATAAGGATTATAACGAACCCCCAAAACCTGCTCTAATAATTAAGGTCCCGATATTATATTACCATTGTAGATGCAGTATCGTTTCCCTCCTATAGTATCCCGTAAACGGAACCCTAGTGCAAGTATTAAGGCCCTTGCATTATGCTCTTGCGAGGCTCGCGAGTCTTCGTTCTGGGGCGCTTCTCTCAGGGGTTATAGAAACGAAGCACAAGTACACTGCCCCTAAACCCCTAAACTTTGGCCTTATCGTAAGGTTTAGGGGTTTGGGGTTTAGGGTTTCGGGGCCCTAAACCCTTAAACTTTGGCCTTATAGTATGGTTTAGGGGTTCAGGGCTTCGGGGCCCTAAACCCCCTAAGCCCTGAAACCAAATTCCTCAGCCCTACGCGACTGAGCCTCCTGGCCCTGAGCTTCAGCGCCCCTACGAAAAGAAGTAAGCTAATATAGGAGCCTGAATAGCTGGGAATAGGATTTTGGGGACCCATTATACTATAGTTATACTAAGGAACCCCCAACATAGTATAGGTAATTATTATTCAGGCCTCTAGCAAAAGAAGTAAGCTTATATAGGATACCAGGTATTATAGGTATCCGATACCTGCCAACAAGCCTGGGGGCTGCCAACTCACGAAGATGCGCCCATTATGAAGGCCTCTATATTATGCTAGCACGAAGGTCGGCCCTCAAACCCCCGAACTAAAACTCCAGACCCTCAAAAGTTCAGCCCAGACGAGACCACCCTAAAAATTCCCAAAGCCCCAAATTCCTGAACCCTAAGCCGCACAGACTACACTCCACCACCCTAAAGCCCGAACCTGAATCCTCAAAATCAGGGAGCGACCCAGGGACTCCAATATCCCTTAATTAAGGAATATACCCTGCACTATAGTAGGATCCCTAATCTGATTCAAGGAATATTCCCAAACTAAGGGGTAGCGGAGTCTCCGCGGACCTCCCGATGCACCAACGTCGGGGTTTGTGGCATCTCCAGCGGCCGGTACTGGCCAGGCTACGTTTCTGTTTGAGACTCTTGTGTGCTGATGCTCTTACAGTAGAAGCCAGAAAGTTGGAATATGATTATCCTAGACCCTTTATGGTAAATTACAAGGTATCCCTGAAACCATATTCCAACTTTCTGGAGTTCCCTTTACAGTAGAAGCCAGAAAGTTGGAACATTAGTATCCTCATGCCACAGGGGTAAAGTATAAGGAATCCTATAGCGCTAATCCTCCTAAACCCATGTCCCAACTTTCTGGGATGGTGCTCTAATACGGTCCAAGTACCTACATACAGTTGATGATATAAATCCTGCTTTACCCATAATTAATAAGGAATATTACCATAATTCCCATGGCTCAGGGTCATTAAGATACTGAAGATTTGTATCATCAACCCGAAACCCTAAAACCCTATAGATCCCTTAACGGAACCCCTGAACGGTACCCTTATTCCATCACCGGCAGTAGAATACACTTTGAGGATCGACTCTCGTGGGCTGATTGGGAGTGGAGTGGGTTGAGGACTTTGAGTAATTGCGGTTGATGATATAAATCCTGCATGACCCATAATAAGGAATATACCATAATTCCCAGAGTTTAGGGTCCTTAGTGTAATGCAGGATTTATATCATCAACCGTTCGGAGGGGGCGCTCAAAATCTAGGGCTTCAAGATCTTAAGGCTTAGAATTTAGGGCTCCGCGTACTTAAAGGATCAGGGGCACTTTCAGGAAGCCGGTGGTAAGTAGACCGAGCTCTGACTCGAACCAGAGTAGCCTAATTACCCCAACGACGGCTCCGCCAGCACTTTGCGGTTTAGGATATAGGCTTGGCAGGGTTGAGGTGTTCAGGGACTTACACTTAGCAACGGCAACGCATCACGTCTCCGGATGAAGCTATATGCCTTTCCACAGGCAAGAGGGCTTCACGCTTCAGCAACGAGCTTTCAGGCTTTGCTCCGCAAGGCAGGCGGTACTCAGGGATATGGCTTCGTCGGAGAGGGAAATCAAAGTCGCTACTACGACGGCCTACGACGACGACCAGTACCACCATCGGCACTATGAGTTCCTAACAATCAAACCCTCGAACGCTACGCCAAACCCCAGCCAATTGAAACTAGTATTGATGACGTCTGCTGCGAAAGGTCACTTGGGGTCAGCGTCTCCTTCTTGAAGCGGGCGAACAGGTGCTGGTAGGCATTCATCAGGCCGTGAAGGGGGGCACCGAGGCGCCGCTCGAACTGGGTGATGCCTGGCGCCATCTTGATCGGGAGGTTCCAAGAGCAGCAATGCCTCCAAAACCCGGCATACCAAGTGAACTGTTCCAGAAGGGGGAATTCCTTCCTCGCAGCTGCCTTCAGTGTTGACATGCTGCTCGTGTCGTGCCCCACAAAAAGGATGACAGCGTCAGTATCCTTGAGGGCGAGAAGAGCCCTCAGGGCAGAAATAGCTGCCTGCTGAGCACCCTGAACGCCACCACGGCGGACTTCGCCCAGTTCTTCGTGGGCAGCACCGCCGCCACGGGAGCCTTCAACGCCAGCTCCACGATCGCAGCCACGGGACTCATCTCCGCCAACGGCGGCCTGGCCGTGGCGGGCACCGCCACCTCCGGCAGCGTGGAGCTCAGCACGGAGCTGCGGAGCCCCATCGTGAAGGCCCGGCAGCAGCATCACCGAGCATCCTGGAGTGGAGCACACGCGGGTCATGTGGGAGTTTCCGAAAATTAGGGGTACCTTATTTGGGGGTCCTTATAATAAGGACCATACTATTTAGGGTACTATATTAGGGTCCCCTATTTTCGGAAACTCCCATGAGTGTCGAGCCCGCCACGACTGGCCAGCTCGACCCGCGGTCCACGAGGAACTCTGCTGCATCTGTTTCGTCGTCTATCAGAGCGGTAGTTCCGTTGTAGGGTTTAGGGTTTAGGGTTTAGGGAAGACAACAGCAACCAAAAAACTCAAAACACTGAGTGCTTTGTGACGGAGGGAACCTTCCACTAAATTCGGAACCCGAATTGGAAAGAATGCAGGTGTGTAGTACACCCTACACATAGATTTGGGGCCAATGAGTCTGGACCACGCTCGCTTTTGAGCCTTAACGAGTCTGACCCTAGACTGGACCCTAAACATCCCCAAACCCTTAAACCCTAAACTCCCTAAACCCTGAGCTCTAAACCCCCTAAGCCCCCTCAAGTCTAAACCCCAATATGAACCACTAACCCAGAACCCTAGGCTCGTTAGCCGTTGGCCTAAACCTCTAAGCTCTAAACGCCTGTATAGGCCCCTGCACCCTGTTCGAAATCCTGATCCCTCAAACCCTAAACCCTGTATAAAACCCTTAACCCTGAAACCCCCTAAACCCTAAACCCCCAAACCTCTAAACCCCTAAACCCTAAACCCTAAACCCTAAACCCTAAACCCCCAAACCTCTAAACCCCTAAACCCCTGTCTAAACCCAAAAACCCCCGAAAGTTTAAACGCTGAAACACCGAGGCGGGAGGACCGCTGGCGCTTGCGGAAGCTCTGGCGGCCGGTACTGGCGATGCTTCTCGGGTCTAGGTTTGGGGATTTAAGAAGGGTTTTTGGGGGGGGGTTTAAAGTGTTTAGGTTGGGGGGCCTCGGAAAGGTTTAGGGTTTACCGGTTGAGGGTTTAGGGTCTGCGTTTGGGGATTGGGGGGGGTTTAGGGGTTTTAGGGGATTTAGGGGTTGAGGGTTTGAGGTCTAGGGGGGTTTAGGGGCTTAGGGGGGGGTTTTAGGGCTTAGGCGTTTATGGGGTTGAGAGTCTAGAGGCTTTGGGGTTTCAGCTCAAAGATGCCCAAGCTCAACCTCTTGATGCAAAGCCCAAGAATGCATGTTTGGGGTTGCGGGTTTAAGGGTTTGGGGGTTTATAAATATAGCATATTATAGTCTCGTCTAGTCTAGTTTGGTCTAATCAGTATAGGGTTTACAGGCATGTTGAGTCAACCTCACAGGCAATGAGGAGCTAAACCGCAAGCAACGCGCGAGTCCAAGTCCAAGTACACCATTCGCACTGCACAAATGCTTGAAACACCAAAGCCCTGGAACTGAAACGTGTACATCCTGAACCCTGACTCCCAAACCGCATTCAAAAACACACCAAGTGACACAACCTTTCCCTCAAAAACAACGAGCAGAATCGCGGATCCAGCGCAATTCTGCTTTCTTTTGTTTGGGTGGAAGGTGACCCTAAACCCCTAAATTTCTAAACCCTAAACCCCTAAATTTCTAAACCCTAAACCCTAGGGGGCAGAGGATTGGGTGCGAAGGATTCGGGCATTGATTTGGGAGTCTTTGTCTTGCGCTGTTATTTGTAGTAGGGGCATCCTTACTCCCGGGTCTCTCGTTTGATGTTATTTCGTAGGAGCTGTAGAAGGTTTATAGACCGGGGAATCTTGAAATGAAGGTTCCTGTATCTGGGGGGGGGCCTCCTATAGATTCCGACAGCGTCTTAGTAGTCGAAGCCCCGTGGCGGTAAGTCCAGGCAGGGATGACCGCAAGTGGTTGCGGAATCTCCGACGGCCGGTACTGGGCATCGGGTGTGCACTTCGGCTTTAACAGGCTTTGATACCGTTCTCGTGGCGGCTACAGTAACATGTGCAAATAAATATCTGCACATAGCTATCTATCTATCTATACATACATCTCTCTCTCTCTCTCTCTCGATGTGTATATGTGTATATATATATACATATATATACATATACATATTGAACTCGTATGCATGTGTACGCGATTCATGCATATAACAATATGTATATTACAAGTCTATATGTGTGTACACACACAAGTTTTCGGGGCTCAGGGTTTTCCAGGTGCTCGACTCGACTTAGGGTTCAGGGAGTTGGGTTTCGGTTTAGAAGGCACGACACCCACAAAGTTCGAGGAGCTGTTGTTGTCGACAGCTACCCTAATGGCTCCACCGAACAATCAGACGATCTACACGTGTAGCGTCCAGGTAGGATTTAAGGGCCTACTTGGCGGTCCATGAGTAGTTATGAATGGGGTTATATAGTCCCCTAATAGGGGTTATAACCATAGTTACCCTAATTACAAGCCCACTCATAACCACCCATGACCCTCCAAGTAAGGTACCCTAAACCCTGAACCCGGGCGATGGAAGGGTTTGATCATGCTCCGCAACGGCCATAGTCTGCCGAAGCCTGGGAACACATACGTAGCATGGTGTGTATTGTGTGAAATGTCTTGGGTTTAAGGGCGAAATAAACTCGCACTACACTTCGTTTCATTTTTATTTCTTTCAATCTAGACCTGGAATTCTCTTCATGGAAAAGGTGCCGTGTGATGAGTTCTCGTTTCGTTGAACCGTGTGACTCAGGGTTGGGTTAGTTACAGCTAGTTGTTGTTCGCACTAAAAGAAAGTATCGAGATTAGCGAAAGCCCAGCTAGAGGTGAAGATAGAAGAGTAATTACGACAGCTCCAACTTACAGCTGAACTCAGAAAAGCCCCGCCCACCTCGCGATGCACCAGCGCTGGTGTTGCGAGCACATCGACGGGGTGGAACTCGGGCCCGAGACAAGATGCTTAGCAATAAGCTTGTGAAACCTTAAACCCTAAACCCTACAGCTTGTGATTGTGGGTTTCGCATTACAACCCAGCTAACTGTTCAGGGACCTGTAGGTCGATATTAGCTGGCTGGCGTTGGTGTCGTTGTTTCTTCCTTCCAGGCGCGTACTACCTGCCCCAGCGTCGCTTTTGCAATCTTTTGGTTTATTGGGGAGTTTCAGAAACTAGGACCCCGATCGGGACCCTGGGTACTCGGGACGCTGAGCTTATCAACGCCAGTGGCGATAGATGGCACTGTCTGAGCCTGTGGACGACATGCTAGCATCGTCGCTTGCGTTTACAAGCGCTATGAACCTCAAACCCGTGTAAAGGCCAACATCTCAAGCCTGTGTAGCTTGGGACCTGCCCAAGCTTTCGAATCCACTCCCCCATTTTCTTGAGGGAACACTGTCTCTTGGATAACCTTGTTTGCCTCAGTTCAGGACAAGGGTATGGAACTCGCTCAACCCAGAACCCTAAGCCCTGATCTCCCATGAAGGTCCTAGGGCATTGATAATTCGACTAATTAGGGCTTTGGGGCCCATGATACTATAACTATAATACGTGAATCCCTTGAGAGGTAGATAGGTAGTTATTGAGGCCCATGTAGTAGATCGCCAGCCTGCCGGACCACTCGGTGAGCGGGCGTCGGAGATCGAATGACCTGCATCCACCGCAGGGTCCATAAGGATTTCGGGTGGATTGGGTTAAAGGTTGAGATCCTTGTCTAGGGTTTTCTGACGAACAAGAAGCAAAGAACCAAATACTGTGACACACCAGATAGATACAGCGATAACGAGACATGTGTATCGATGGTTAATGTCTGTATGTACATAGACTCTGAAAAAATCGTGTATACCCCGAAAATCTAATTAATATGAAAGTCTGAGTGGTTGGGAATGACATCCCTTTATCTTACGCTATATGCAAAACCCACTGACCCAAATTCCCATAAGAGGACTCTAAATGAATACCATTTTTCTTTACGTAGACTTCTGTATTGGGGCTATAAGACCTGACAAGGTCGTCTAGGCTGGAGGATCTAGAGATTGAGTAGTCTGGAACCTTAAGCTAAATAATATTGGAAGGATCCAACAAAGAAAGAAGCAACAAACGCAACTCTTTAGAGAGTACCGCAAACCCCCTAACAGCATACGTGTAGTAGTACAGTGCTTCACTGGCGGTATGCAAAGTAGGGTTCCCAGGGTTCCTTTTAAAGGGATCCTATCAGGGCTCCTTTTAATGGGATCCTATAAGACTGACATCAGGAAACCTGCCCACTGCCCCCAAGCAAGACTCCATGGCTCAGTTCAAGGGCTTTATCGGGTGAAGGGTGGGTTTAGGGATTAGGGGTTTAGGGTTGTCTCCATTGTAGTTCCTTTTTTTAGTTAGCCAAGATCTCTATCATAGGGTCCTAACGAATCCTAACCATAAAACTGGTTGATCAACAAAAGGAACTACAACGGAAACTGTAGGTATATGTTGCCTGAACTCCACCAACAATCAATCCTCACTGGACCGAAGTTTAGTCTCGGTTCTTCTTGTGCATGTCATCACTGCTGGATTTCTGGCTATACGACCCCGAAGTGTAGGGCCCGGGGGGCGGACGGACATCAGTCTGGACTATACACTCCGCCAAATCCGATGGTCCGACTGGGAGGTTTTGGAGATGACAGGGCGGCGCCGGGGGGTTGCTCAATACTTCGTGGGAGCTCGTTTAGCTATCCCTGGAATAACGGTCCTGCTATTCGAGCTCTATATGAAGGTTTGCGATTTTCTGACGACACAACATGTCTCTATATTTGTAAAGCAGACAACCATGGACCTGAACCAAACGAAATCCAGCACCCCACTACGCACCTCCGCCCGCAGGGGCTGCGCAGGGGTTCCGCGCGCCACCGGCGCAAGTCGCGGGGGGCCTCTGGAAATGGTGGACTCGGAGTGGTCCGGAGCTACTGACCTTAAACACTCGTTGATTGGATCAAGTTTGCAGATAGGACCCCATCGTAATGAAGGTTCTGAGGAACCAAGGTAACCAAAAGAGGCAAGTACAATCGAGGATCTCTGCAGGATGCATGTTTGGGAGATTCCAGATGCTGCCAAAGTTTTGGCCGGTGGGTTTAGGGTTTAAGGTTTAGGGGTTTACGGTTCAGGGGCTTAGTGTTTCTGGAAGCATTCCGCACCTCCTTGTGTGCAGATGGCTCCAACTCTTTTCTGTGATTCCTGTCAGAGTCATAGTTCTTGTCATTTCCTGTCTTGGACCTGGAAAAACAAAATCTCAACACCAAACAAACCTACCTGTAGTCTCCATTGTAGTTCCTTTTTTGGTTAACCAAATTCTCTATTATAGGATCCTAACCATAAAACTGGTTAACCAAAAAAGGAACTACAGTGGAGACTATAGGTAGATTCCCTAGATGCCTAGATGCTTTGGCTCGAGCGTTTCCGTCAAAAGCAGATGAACTGCGTCAACCTTGCGCCTTGGATTCACAGTACCCAGTCACTAACCCAGAGAGCCCAACACCCCTTAAGTAGGGAATATGGCTTAAATTATATAGGGCTTCATATTATGATTTAAGCTATATTCCTTATTTAACTGGGAACGCACAGAGAAGCGGAAGAACAAAGACGGAGAAAAGAGATAGGCAAACACGACAGATTGCTAGGGCCTGGGACTCCCTGATAACATCCCCCTTTCTTTGTTGTGGCCCTGCTCTATGCTAAACCCTCAGTTGCTACCACCCGTTGTGGCCGCGGAAACGCAGACAAACACATAGAGAGACAGAGGCACAGGCACACAAAGCAGAACCCCGGCCAAGCTCAAAGCCTAAACCTGCAGCCTTCCGCTCCAAACCCAGCCCATACATTCTTAAGCCTCAACCAAACCTAAACTCATCATCCTAAGCCCAAAGCCGCGAAGAACAAACTAGATGCTACAACGAAAGAAGCGCTTTTAAAGCCCCCTACACAAACCTTAAACCCTAAACTAAACCCCATAAATCCTAAATCGAGCCCGGGGCAACCGCCGTACGCTATGGGATGCTGTGCCACTCGCACGGGCTGCCTCAATCGGCTGCGGAGGGGCCAGATCTGGGGGTCAGGGCTTATAAGGGTTTAGGGTTTAGGGCTTAGGGTTTAGGGCTTTTTAGGGGTAAACATGTATGCCTTGTTTGCAACCTTTTACGTTAACTACCCAGACCCCCGGGAGGATCCGAAAAGTAGATCCCTTCATGGGGGTTCCTATAAAGTACCCTTAGTAGTATAGGGCCCCAAATTACGAGGGTGGTCTGGGTAGGGCAACTACGGTTGATGATATAAATCCTGCATTACCCTAAGGACCCTAAACTATGGGAATTATGGTATATTCCTTTTTATGGGCCATGCAGGGTTTATATCCCTAAACCCCATAGATCCCTTAAAGGAACCCCTTAAAGGTACCCTTAAGATCCCTTTAAAGGAACCCAGGATTTGTATCATCAACCGTAGGGCTTTGGGTCTTGAGGTCTCCTGGGCTTCGGACTTTTGAGGTGGCGGCGGGAGAGAGCGTGGGCGGTTGGACTTTATTGCGTTTCGGGTCTTGGGGACTTGCTTTCTGCTCGCGTTGGGTGATTGAAGCTGTACATTGAAAAAAGGCACCTATAAATACATGTATATCTGTATATGTCTAAATATGTGTGTATGTATATATATATATATATATACATACATACATACATATATATATATATATATATGCCTGTCTGCATGTTGCAGATCTACATATGTAAAGTTGCACGCATGCCAAGCACAGCTGGCTGTTGCACGTAACACGTGTTTCTGCATCCTCGAACCCTGCAGATTCTGTAGTTTGGATGGATAGACATAAATCAACAGTCAACTGCCTCACGGAGACATTGTGCAGGCGCACTGCATATGAAAACGATGCACACTATCCAAGAATGTGTAGAACTGTGCAACTTTTCTGTTGGTGCCGAAGATAACAGGCAAAACAAGGGGTGTTTGTGCAGGAGAAGACGAAAGGACCTCGCAACAAGTCGAGAACAGAACTCGCCGGAGGTTCAACACTAAAGGGAACTCCAGAAAGTTGGAATATGGAATAATGGCAGGATCCCCTATAATTTACCTAAAAGGGGTTACGATATTGATATTCCAACTTTCTGGCTTCTACTGTATGACTTCAGACATGAATTTGGGCAGACAGACTTTCCAAAGTTTGCCGCGATAAGGGGTCACGACGGGATTTGGTATTTGCCTGCGCAGAACCTCTCAAACACATATGAACGAAGCAGTCACCAATGCAATCAAAAAGTCAGGTCCTACTGAGAACTGCAGGCACTAAGCCTCCGAAACACGACCGAATAGGAAGAACGTGCTGCGAAGCCACAGACGTAAAGACAAAGGACTTCAGCTGGACAAGCGGTCGTTGATCCCACCCTTCAAGCCCAGTAATTAGTATAGGTTGCTGCCCCTCTATATACAAAGTATGGTGCAGGCTTCAAGTGCCAGTTCACGCTTACCATACAACTTGGGATTTGGCACTCGCCATCAGCGCAGTGCTTTGGCGGGGTTGCAAAGACAGTCTGAGAATACGGTTGATGATCTAAACCCTGCTTTACCTTAAGGACCCTGAACTATGGGAGTTATAGTATATTCCTGATTATGGGTACTGCAGGATTTATAGCATCAACCGATAGCACCTCTACTCACCAACCGAAAGTCCTCAATCGTCCCATGCAGCAGCAGAACAAAAGGCTACCAACTAATCTGACTCATCGGAATCGCAACCTCATCCTGGCCATGGACCCTTAAGCCCCAAATCCCAAACCTTCATGGTACCCTTATAGGAACCCCTAAGAGTCTAAGAGCCCTTAAAGGAACCCCTATTTAGGTACATGGACCCTGAACCCAAAGGCCCTCAGGCCTGCCGGAAATCTCCATCGTCTCAACTCTAGACTCTAGACCACGTAGACCCTAAACCCTAAACTCTAAACCCCAAATCACCCTAAACCCAAAACTCTAAACTCGAAATAACCTTACGCCCCAAACTCTAAACCCTAAAAAAACCCAAAACTCTAAACCCCAAACCCTAAACCCCAACCCCTAAACCCTAAACCCAAACCCTTAACCCTATACTTTACCTAAACCTCCCAAACCGGGAGCCCCGGCATCCCATACGTCATCTGCGGCTGGGCGGAGCGCACTCCTCGGTACTGCACCTCGCTCGCATCACGACTCGAGTGACGACGACTGCTATAGAGCCCTTTATAACCAGAATAGGGTTACTTTATAATTACAACTGCAATCGCATCACGACTCGAGTGACGACGACTGCTATAGAGCCCTTTATAACCAGAATAGGGTTACTTTATAATTACAACTGCAATAACGAACCTCCAAACTAGTAGAGGCAATTACCTGAATCATTAGAATAGGGTTTTGACGATGTAGAGATGCACTGCTACCTGCCTTGCCGCTGCTGCAGCTGATGATGATGATGATCATGATGATGATGTTGATGGAAGTGCTCATGCTGCCAGCACTGACACTTTGTCCTGATTCTGATACCACACGTTGCAGGCTGGTGCACGAAAATTAACCCGAACGATACTACATGCAGCCCGTTATCTAGTCCTCAGAGCATACACACCACGTATATCCGTACGTACTCCTTTTTAGGGTATATGCTTTTCTATGTAGCAGACCCTAACATTCGAAAAAGGGCACCTAGATGGACCTAGATGACACTCTAGGAAGACAGTACCGGGGAAGATGCTCATCCGTACATCCCGCCTACGTTGAACGAAGCATATAATTATACTTATATATATATTATATATATATATGTACATACGGTAATATGGTAGATGAATTTACATGGACCCTTCAGGCTACATGTCTGACCAACCTCCGCTAGACTCTAGACTCTTCCCCGTAAGCAACCGGGCCTCAGGACGTAATCCACCAGACACAGGTCAGAGCAGAGTTTAGATATAGGGTTTATGGTTTTAGGGCTTTAAAATGGTTTAGGGTTTAGGGGTTTAGGGTTTAGGGGTTTAGGGTTTAGGGCTTACCTATAGTCTCCATTGTAGTTCCTTTTTTTGGTTTTACCAAATATATAATTAGGATCCTATAAGGTAAACCCAAAAAGGAACTACAATGGAGAGTATAGGTATGGTTTAGGGCTTTAGTAGGGCTTACAGGGTTTATGTCCTACTGAAGGGCACTGAGGGCATGGCCATAGGTGAGTACATGGTTCCCGAACCTGCGCCAGATCCGCGGCAGGTTAAGGGTTTTTGTTCTCGAGTCCAGCATGCGGGCATGGAGGCTGGGGGTTACCCTAAACGGCTGCTGCTGCTGCTGCTGCTGCTGCTGCTGCTGCTGACAATGCCGACCATGTCGGCAACGCGGCAAAGACGATGACGATAAAGATGATGCTACCAATATGAAAGAAAAAGCCACCCAGGATGATGGAAAGGGTGTCGGCGACGACACTAGTTATGATGATGATGATGATGACCATGGCGACGATGACGACGGTGACGATGATGATGGTGGTCATGGTGAGTATGCTGGTGATGATGGCGACGATGAAGATGATGGTGAGGATGATGATGGCTTTGTAGTTTATCAACATGTTCAGAACGTCATGTTCATTTCGCAGTATGATAGCCCGCCAAAACCATGATGATGATTGCAGCAACGATCACATGGAAAGTGCCTTCGGCAGATCCGCGGGCCAGCGCAGATGCATCTCGGTGCCCGCGCCGGGGCCGAAGTTGTGTTAGATCTAGTCTCGTCATTGATCTTAGGGGCTGGTTGTGGCTACAGAGTGATGCTTGGAGCAAAACCCGTGACTTGAATCAGCTAGTCGAGGCTTAAGCACACATGTTGGTCCTGAAAACTGTTTCGAAGGTGCATCACATCTTTTGCTCGGGTCCACGTTCTGAATGTGCCGCTGTATGTCAGACAGATAGCCGTGGTTCTATGGTCAGGTTGGTGCTCACTCTTGAGCCTGCCGAGAGAAAGCAGAAGATGAAGGCCGAGACCTGTGTAAACCACGTCTCCTGCAGAAACCCCGCAACTACCCTCTACAGTGCCTAAATGAGAGGATGTTTGGGAGGAATTGGCATTCCAGCTCTAGGTTTGAGTGCTTTAGCATTTGAACGAATACTACTCAACCCGAATCCTTTCCCTAACTCAGGCGCGGCTGTTGGAGTAGATTGTACTAGAGTCCTACCAGCCCTAAGGACAAATGTTAGCAATCCCTCCCGCTTCTAGATGTTGAAACAAATAACTAAAAGTAACAATACATATATATATATATATATATACATATGTATTTATTCATTTATTAATATGTATATATATATATATATGTATATTTATATACATATGTATATATTGATTGAAGGAAGACTGTCATCCATTGTGACTTGGGAGTCTCAGTGGGGGTTCACGGCCTTCTCGAAAGTCTGCGGCACAAAGCAGGGCAAAGTGACTTCTCCTAGGGTTGATGATATAATTCCTTTACAGGGATCGTAACGGTACCTTCAAGGGCTTCCTTTAAGGGATCTACGGGGTTTGAGGGTTTAGGGTTTAGGGAAATAAATCCTGCATTACCCATAATAAGGAATATACCATAAATCCCATAGTTTCGGCTCCTTAAGGCTTTGCATCATCAACCGCAGGTCCAGTGGTGGGTTTAGCGAGTAGGGTCTACCTGCCGATGTAGAAAATGTCTTTTCCAGCCCAAAACTTTCGGTAAGGGAACGGGTTGCGTATGCAGGCTAATTCTGCCCCTGGGTCAAATTGCAGCGGTTGGCTTTCTTGGATGCACGGACTTAACCTCAAATGATTCCTTTGACAGGTATGCTACTTGAGGGTGTCAATCGCTCTGCGACCAGTGCACCCGGAAAAACGGCCATGAAGCTTTGAAGAGTCAATTGGGTCAAAAGTATCGAAACTCAATCGCGATGAAGAGTTGCAATCATGCTCAACTCTTTTCCGTGAACAGGAGCACGCCGTATTACAATCGTCGATCTGTGTATGCATCAAATTATCTATCTGTCTATCTATGTGCCTATATATGCCTTCACTACATCTATCTTCTGCTATCGATGTCCATCTATATCTACCCGTACCTATCTATCTATCTGTCTATTTGTCGATCTATAACTATGAAAAGAGGTTATACATATGTTCATACGTACATACATACATGTCCTACAGTTTTCTTATTCGTTATATATGCACGTGTGTATGGGCGTATACGTACATACCCACATACATACATACATGCATACATACATACATACATACATACATGCGTACATACACACATATGGACATACGTAAATGCCCACATATGCGTATGTATGTATGTATGCATGCATGCATGCATGTATGTGTATGTATATGTATATGTATATGTATATATATATATATATATATTCACTCACACACACACACACACAGACACACACACACACACACACACACACACACACACACACACACACACACATCTGCCGCACTAGTTAAGCCAACACGTTTGAAGGGCGAACTGAGCTTCAAAGCCTCTCGCCAGAATTGCCCTGCAACGCCCAAGAACACTGGCCCGTGGCTTTCGTTACACGGGTCTTTTTGGTTCAGGTTTCAGGGTTTAGGCTAGTAGGGTTCGGGGTACTGCTGGTTTAGGCTCGTAGGGCCCTATAGGGTTTGGACTGAGGGTTAAGGACATTAGGGTTCGGGAAACTGTAGCTCTACATACTTGCATAAGTGAGGATACAGATACGGTTCACCAGGTTGCACGCATTGTGGGGTGGTCAGACAGCTAATTCTAGAGAAATATGCAGAGCTCCGAATTGATGCTTTCCTGTTACGAAGCCGAAACACTGCCCAATCTACTCGCATCTAGCAGCTCTAGAGATGACATCGGACGAGTAAGGCCGCGGGACTGATCCTGGAACGCCCGATTCACTAACGTTCTCCAACTCTTGGGGTTTGGGAGTTTGGAGCGGTACCTTTTGCCGTGAAACCGTGCCTAGGCGAGGTAGGCGTTAAGCCGTGAGGGCATGATCCCAAACCTCAAGCTTCGTCGGAGACAGCGACACGAGCTTCTCATGCTTCAGCGGTCGTCACAAGAAAGCCACTATACTTCCCAAGCTGGTCCATAACAAAGACTACAGAGATTCCTATGTCGAACTACTCGACTGCACACCCAAACAGTGAAAACCTCCACCATGCAACTTGAACCCATGAGTGCAGGAGTTAGTCGAGGTGCAACCAACAGACGGTAAATAAGACTTGGCATACAATGTTCATGAGAACCGTCGATACAATGTTCATGAGAACCGTCGAAGTAAGACCAGCAGTCAAGCGGACAAAAACATCGCTGCCCTGATTGCCCAAGTGTAACAACGAAAGAGATCCTGCTACTTAGGGCTAGGGCTTCTTTCGGGGTTCCTTCATTCTCTTTCCATTTCGACAATCAGACAAGACTCGGTGCTGCATGATGTGGGAGTTTCCGAAAATTACGGGTACCTTATTTGGGGTCCTTATAGTAAGGATCCTACTATTTAGGGTACTACTATATTGGGGTCCCCTATTTTCGAAAACTCCCATGTTGTGATGTCTCGAGGTGCTTCGCGCTTCGCGCACCACCTTCTGTCGCTGGTTCGACGCTACCTACAAACCTACCGCCGACCCGGAAGCTAGCGTCAGCACTTCCTTTCTGACAAACACTTTCTGACAACAACTACCATTCCCAGAGACTCCAATACCCCTTAATTAGGGAATATTCCTTGAATCATATTAGGGATCCTACTATAATTTAAGGTATATTCCTTAATTAAGGGATATTGGAGTCTCTGGGTTCGTTGCTGATGCTGACTTGGGGTCAGATGTTAAACTCAAGACTAAACTGGACCTCAAAAGGTCTCCAATTCCTCCAACTCCTCCTTGGCAGTCTGCTTGTCAAACTCCTCGCCCATGGCCGACACAATCCAGTCGGCTGGGCGCTCTGTCCACGTGGCCTCCAGGCAAGGCTAGGTGTGCGGGTTCAAAAGAAAATAAAGAACATTAAGGACTACTTCAATATCATCAAGATAGAAGGGGTCTACTTCTGGTTCTGATTTAGTGAAATCTGTAAAAGGGTCTCCGGCGTATCTCAACCTCATACACTTTTTCGGGACGTTTGTCTGGAATTTCTTCTCATGAACCCTAAGAACCCTGAACAAATAGGCCCTTTGGCCGTGAAGGCAATAAACCCTACCTAGGCCCGCCCTGCTTCAACTACCCTCGGCTTTACCCCAAGTGCCTTCCGGTTCAAGACCCGAAGGGCTCTATCGAAGGATACTTGGGATGTCCGGACATCCCTAAACCTTACCAAACAACCTACCTGTTTAAAGGGCTTATATAAGGAAATCAGAACAAGGCCACGATACTGGCGAACTATAGGATCGAAGGGTCCACGGGGGCTAACTTTCCATGGGCTTCTGAAGCCAGGCGGACGTTGAAGTCGCGGCACCCGTCACCTCGACCGTCTTCGGGGACCTCTCTATGCAAATGCACCGAGATTCAGCCTTGCTAAATCCGATCCCAGCTATGTTGGAAATCAGATCTTGGACGTGGCTGGCGGAGATTCCTAGGCCGTCCCGGTTCTGGGGGTGTACTCCGATGAAGTCGCAAGTGAGCTTCAAGCGCCATGCGAGCTTCTTCTACGACAACAGCTCGTGGAGCCCGTTCACACTCTGAACGAGGGTGCCGTCCTTAGCCTTCTGCGGGACCTTACCTCCCTACTCTACTTTCCAAGGGGATAGGAAAGCATCGCTATTTTGTAGAGCCTCCGAAAGTGTAGGTTTGGTTTTACAGAGTCCAAGAGTAAGCTTTACAGGGCGCAAGACACCCCCTAAACCCAAAGGCTCCATAGTAGTTCCTTTTTGGGCTACATATTGGGATCCTATAAGGTAAACCCCAAAAGGAGCTATTATGGAGCCTATGGGTAGGCTTTGCAGGGCCCAAGTAACCCTTGCGAGCCTCCAATACCCCTTAATTAGGGAATATTCCGCAAATCATAGGGGTCCTACTATAACTTAAAGTCTATTCCCTAATTAAGGGATATTGGAGTCCCCTAAACCCTAAACCCTATAGATCCCTTTTAGGAGCCCATTAAAGGAGCCCTGGTAGATCCCTTTATGCAACCCAGAGACTCCCTTAATTAAGGGATATTGGAGTCTCTGGGCTTGCGATTCTGGGGGTAGGGATTCGTAACATGAACCCTATTATGGGAACCCCCATAGGCTAAAACCCCATTTGGCCTCCTATGGCCAAGTAACCCTTGCGAGCCTCAGTCTCGGACAGGCTGGCCGTCCACTCCTCGGGAAACTGCGAGAAAACAGCGGCCCGACCGGGATAGGGGGGAGGCGCTGGTGGGTTCCGGAAGGATTTCAGCGAGGGTCTTTGGGGTTTACAATGGAACCCCAGAAAGTTGGAACATCGGTTTAGGATGATACTGTCATTTAGGGTTTAAGGGCTTGAGGTCGAGGGTTCAGGGTCGGTTTTCTGGGTGAACGCAGTGAACGCTTTAGGATTAAGGGTTCAATAGTTTCAAGGTTCAGGGTTTCAGGATTTATGGATTAGATCTATAGTAATGACCCTATGAGCACGGCGAAAGGGTCTAGGGCCTAGGGTTTCGGGCGCGGCGGGCTTTGCAAGATGTGTTGGTGGCTTCCTTGCCGTTAGCGCACGCAGCGAAAAATTCGGCCTCGTTCAGAGGATTAGCGGCTTGATTTGATGGCACCCCAGCTTGTCGGACATTTGTGAAAAAGTGTCATTGCGGCAATGCTTCGAACTGTAGTGATTCTACGCTGAATTCAACAGCATTTTGTATCGAGCCATGATGCACACATGTAACTTAGTATGCGCAGATGCACACTCGAAGCTAAGATGTGTTTTTTGTGAAAGGCAGATCCGAGCTGACCATCCGTCACGTTCTTGTGGAAGGCGGATGGCGTGTCCGGGTTCTCGGGATCTGTGGGGGGGGGGGTCAGTCTACCACGTAACATTTCGGGCGTTACGACTTTAACGGTTCAGTGGAGGTGGACAGAGCATGACAAGCAGGATCTGCAAGAAAGCAAGCAATGGATCCTTTCTTCGGCGTATCAGCGTCTGAGGTCTCGGGCAAATGGTTTGGGGCTTTCATTCAGCAGCTTCATGACCATGTGATGTCACGTCGTTATGGCAGCTATGCTTGTGTCGTAAAGTTTTCCGTACATGTCTCGAGCAGACACTAAACCTTCGAAATTCTTGGAACACGAATGAATCCCAGATGGTTGGACGCCGCTGAGTTTGGGTTGATATGGGTAGTTGTGACAATCAGGGTCCCTTTTGGGGTACCCTAATTATTAGGTGCCGTATTATAAAAAGGTCCCAAAAAAGGGACCCTAATTTTGACAACCACCCACATGGTACAACGGCGAAGTGCTTTGCGGGGTTTGAAAACAAAAAGACTTACCCATCAAGCTCCCTCAAGTCTCACAAACCCTGTCAGAAGCCCCTGCGCCACGTTCTAAGCGCTAAGCTCCTGAATCCTGCATGATATGGGAGTTTCCGAAAATGGGGGACCCTAATATGGTACCCGACATAGTAGGATCCTTATTATAAGGACCCCAAAATAAGGTACCCCCCATTTTCGGAAACTCCCATATCATCCCAAAGCACCAAAGCCCGAAACCAGGCCCCAAAAAACCCAGAAGCCTGAAGGTTGCTCAATAAACGGAGTGTCTGCGAAAACCCGCATGGCCATCTGCTGGATTGCAACTTTGTTGTCGACCTCAGTGTGGTGAATTTCTTTTTATCAGCTCGGTGTATTGTTTCCGGGTAGGGCTGCCATGTGGGGCTCAGAGATTAGGAGTGGCCCTTGGTCTTCTTGGGCAACCCAACTTTAGCGCCTCGACCCACAAAGTCTTGGATTAAGGCCTATGGCTTTCCTCCTGAGTAAAGCCCCATAAACCCTGTAAGCCCCAGCCCAAAAACCGTAAACCTTGGGTACTGCCTACACTCTCTGACAGTTTAATGAGATTTATATATATATATCTATATATGAATATATGTATATGATCTAATTACTTGTATTTTCTGAATAAATTTCGATACTATCTACATCATATAGGGGCTTAATGATTTGAATAGGGTTTGGGGCCCCTTGCAATATTAGCAAGGACGTGGCACTGGGGCCAGCACCTGGTTTTTGGCAAGCTTCTCGCGAACGTACTGGGCTTGCACCTGCCAGCGGAACTGCTGTAGAGTTGTGTATATAATCTCTAAGTGCGTGCGCATGTGTGTGTGTGTGTGCGCGGGTGTGTGTATGTGTGTCTCTGTGTGTGTGTGTGTGTGTGTGTGTGTGTGTGTGTGTGTGTGTGTGTGTGTGTGGGTGTGTTTGTTTGTGTGTGCGTGTGTGTCTGTGTGTGTACGCGTGTGTGTGTGTGTGTGTGTGTGTGTGTGGCTGTGCGTGTCTCTGTGTGTGTGTGTCATTGAGTTTGTATAATTATGCTTAATGTACATACAGATGCATACACAAGCGTGCATGTGGGTGCATATGCACATACAAAGTTGCAGTCATGTTTGAATCTATATTTTGTCTGCACTTGCATACAATTCCATAATCAAAACATGCCGCGACATGGGTGTGTATCAGGATATACGAGTAGATGCCTCTCTGTGTGTGTGTGTGTTTGTTTGCCTGTTTGTTTGTGTGGTTGTCTTCGTTTACATTTCGGGTGATTCGCTTGTGCTTGCGCGTGGACAGGGATAGTTGGATGCAACTTTTCAAGTCTGTACATGCGGCCGTACTGTAGCAGGTGTTGTAGAGCTTCAAGTGGGGTTTGAGATTTCGGGTTGGCGAATTTGAGGATGCCCAGTAACCTAGGAATAAAAAGGGCTCCCTTTTGGGTATTGGGTAACTTTATAAGGAACCTAGAACTACAAACAGGGAATAAGGGTAGTACTGGGCATCCTCAAATTTGAGGGTGTAAGCTCCGGGTGAGACTCGAAGCTAGCTTCTTGGGGCTAATAATTATGAGTCGTTCGGTGCCATCATCCTTCAGGTTACTGGAGTCGTCGAGTATACCCGAAGGCTCCATAGTTGTTCTTGTTTGGGGGTTCGGATTTTAGAGTCCTTTGAGGTAATCCCAAAAAGGAACTACTATGGAGCCTCTGGGCCTCTGGGTCAAGCCTTGAGGATTTTTGGGCTTCTTTGCGAGTACATGGCATTAGTGGTGCTCACATCGCAACGCTTCCCGAAGCAGCCGACTGCTTGTCGAGCACTTTGGCATATCTTTCATGCTGTATATCACAGTTCGGTTTTGAAAGGTGATACTTGACGTGAGTGCACATATCACCACTCAGCGCAAGATACAGCTGGTGAGGCCTGTAATTTTATCGTGAACCGTATCCCGAAACTAAACCCTACTAAACCATCTTAAAAATCACCAAGCATCCCGGTCTTCTGTTTCTCGCACCTCTTCTCGAAGGTCCTCCATGATTTCCGAGAGAGCCTGGCAAGCCACGTCGGGAAGAAGATGGGGATCTCTTGGCACGGGGGGTCCCTTTTTCGGGGCTCGTGGCAGTAGGGGATCCCTCCTGTCCAAAGTTTTGTCGTGAACCAAAGAAAGTTGGAACATAGATCTAGGATGATCCATGCCGCGATCCCCTGTGCTATACCTTCGGGGCATGAGGATAACGATGCTCCAACTTTCTGCCACTGTATGTTCGGGTGACTTATTTCGGGCTGAACTGTAAAGAATTGCGTGTTTCGAACTCAACACCGACACACACACACACACACACACACACATCTACTATGGGCCTTGATAATTAGAATAGCATTTTGGGGCCATCATTATACTATAACTATTATCAGGACCACCAAAAAATAGTTTAGGTAACTAGGTAACCATTACGGCCGCTATTTATAGTATCCTTATGGTGTCCCTTATAGACTCCAGGGGATCTGATTAAGGCCCTATAGTAGCACCATCTCGCGCCTGGGTGATGAGATCTGAAGGCGTCTGAGGTCTCGCCTTCCGGTAAAATGCGCTTCTTTTGCTCTAGGGTTTAGGGGTTTAGGTGTCCAGGGGTGTAGGAGGGTGTTTAGGGTGTAGGGGGGTTTAAGGGTTTAGGGTGTAGGGGTTTAGGGGTTTAGGGTGTCTAGGGGTGTAGGGGTTTAGGGTTTAGGGTGTTTAGGGGTTTAGGGTGTTTAGGGTGTATAGGGGTTTATAGGGTGTAGGGGTCTGGGGAGGGTTTAGAGGACCCTCAAGGTGGGACGACTTGCAACCCAAGGAGTTCAGGAAAGGGGACCTTAACAGGGGTTTAGGGATTCGGGGTTTAGGTCGTCCGTTCTTTTTCAGTCCTCCAGCTGCGAGAGCTGCTGCAAGGCCAAGCTGTATCGCTGTTCCTTTTTGCGAGTTGCTTGCACCGGCCCTTGGCCCTTTACACATGCTTTCGCCAATGTCTGCATCTTCTTCTGCATGTCTTCGCCCAAAAAACACCAGATAGCTCTGGGGCTCAGGGTGTGGGCTTGCAAAGCACGGTGTTGGACGAAGTGGCTTTTTGAAGTGATGTCGAACAGTCGCTCTTCCAAGTAATGCTCGGCAATCGCCTTCAGCAGCAGTAGGTACTTCTCAACTCGTGTCGGAAGGTTGCTGCCACTGGAGCCGGGAAGAAAAGGGCTTCACGATAATCGATTGCAGTCTGTTCGACGGCAGACTCAGCTAGACTATGTAAGGCTTGGGAGTACATTATAATATGTATGGACTATACGTAAGTCTGCATCTTAGGCTCTCCGACTGTTTTTGTGATGGTTTCGGGTATACGGGTCTTTCGGTCTGACGTTACGCATGCCAGGCGCATACGTCGCTGATGCACTGCATCGAGCCTTGAACCCAAAAACCTAAAACTTGGTGTGTTCAGCTACCGTGTGTGCGAACGCTTAGAGCGGAAGGGAAAGGGGATTGGAGTCGGCTTGTGTGTTGGGATTTTGGGTTTAGGGTTGAAGGTTGAAGGGTTCTGGGGTTTAGGGTTTCTAGGCTGCGTTCTGAACCCCTGTATACATGTCAAACTGTTAGCTTCTTTCTTGTAGCCAACAACGGTATCAAAACACACCAGATTCCAAAGAGCCACGCACAAGAGAGCCAAGGTTTAATGAGCAGCGCCTTCGAACGGGATGGAGGACAGGAGCTGCCAAAGTGCAATACCAACCAGGGGTCGATTTCAGCAGTCCTCAAAGTACTGTATACTTAGGGCTCTCTTTTGAAACACTAGGGGATACTGACCGTTATCCCAACTCGGTACCGAGAATACATCGAGGAGATATCCAGCACCAGCACGGCTCATATTCCAGGGGGTTTCGGGCTTCGGGTCAAAGAAGAACACCCGCTGAACTTTGCATGTGCTGGGTTCTTGTTATAAGGAGTTTAAAGTTAGGTTACCATAGGGATCTATAGTAGATAAAAGGGTTTCCTTACTCTGGTAACTTAAATGAAACCCCTTAACCTCAAACCCTTATCAAACCCTTCAGGAACCCGTATAGATCCCTCAACGGAACCCGTATGACGGTAACTTAAATTAAACCCTTAACAAGAACCCAGACGAATGTGCCTCCTTGGTCGCCTCCCTATCCACTTCGACAACCTTTTCCTTCGCCAAAGGGCGTCGACGTCGGGGTAGACTTGAGGACTTCAGCGTTTAGGTAGATCGGGCCTAACCAAGGGCTGTAGCTGCAGGTTTGCGCACCCAGCTGAAAACGTAGGCGAAGACCACACAGGCACAACCATGCTTCGAGCATGCCATGGGTGTACCCTCAGAACAAGTCTTTTTGTCATGGCTTCATCGTTTGACGGATTGTGAAGGAAGTTTCTTGTAAACTTTTGGCGTCCTATAACCTTCGAAAGCCTGTACTATGAACCTGCTCAGGCCCATGGTATACCGAAGATTCTTCCTAACCCGTTGGGTTTACTGAGCAATGCATTACATGTAGTTCTTTACTTGACTTACCTGTGTTTTGCATATTGGCCCAGGCTAGCCGCATTAAGTGCCGCGTGCAACGAGTTATCGTTAGAGGGGTCCCAGTCAGCCAGTCGGGGAGGCTTGTACCACTCTGCTGTCCGTAGAGCGCTGTCGCCACTTCTCGACCTTTGCAGCACATGCCCTTCGACGTGCTCTGCCGTGCTTTGCGGTCTGGTCCGTCCAGTCTCTGAAGTTCAACTCAAATGGAGTAGGAACGGGTTCATTCATGTGGCCGTGAGTCGTGACTTGTAGACTTATGCCAGGACCGCAATTCCAAACTCAAGCCAGCATTGCTTGTCCGTGACGTGGATTGTGGCCAGGCCACGATGAGCTCTCTCTGCTCACCGGCATGCTGTCGGACTCCCGGCCAGTTGGTGCCCCAAGCATCGGCGGAACCGAACTCCCGAGTTTCTGCTTAACAGTGTAACATAGACGCCTGATATTTTGTAACTATTTTTCCACTATAGTCCCGATTGCGCTACGTGAACCCAAGACTCTCTGAGCTCGACTGGAGCTCACTGGTGCGTAGCAGGGAATAGGGGCATGGATCCCTATGATAGTCCCTGAAGGTCGCCTATCGTAGTCCCAATAACCCATTCCCCCACTCCCTCCTAAGAACCAGACAGACAGGGTTCGTTCTTTGAAGGTCCCGACTTTCAGCGTTTAGATGCCCGAAGCAGAAATGGGGTTGCCTACACAAACCATACGAGCAATTCCTGGAATCGTACCTTCCACGTTCCCTGGAACCTAAAGCCTAAACCCCAAACCCCAAATCCAAAACCCCTAAACCCTAAACCCTAAACCCCAAACCCTAAATCCAAAACCCCTAAACTCTGAAGCCCTGAATCCCGAAACCCTAAACTACAATACCCTAACACTTTGAACCCCTAAAGCCCGAAGCCCCACACCGGTACTCAGGATTCTGCAAAAAAAGCCTGCTAGCCGAACTGCAGGCGAGCTGCGACGATCGTCTCAACCGGAACCTCCTTTATCACCTGCTTTGGCCATGTTGTTGGGTGATTGCTTTCCTGTTGTTACGGCCCATTTATCCCCGGTTGTTGTGTTTGTGGCTCTGTAAAGGCCCCTTCAGCACCTGCTTAGTGCTAAGAGGTCTAGGCTGCGATCCGAATTGCACATACAATGGGCTGCAGCTCCCAAATGCCTTGTGTTCCGGTGCAGTTTACCATCAGGGTCCATATGGGAGTTTCCGAGAATTAGGGGTACCTTATTTTGGCTTCCTTATTATAAGGGTCCTACTATTTAGGGTACTATTAGGGTCCCCCATTTTCGGAAACTCCCATCTATACCACCACCGTGGAACTGCATCTCAGAAACCATATTATGTATGGGAATGGTCTGCGTGGGGCAGACTCGTGGTTGATACGGACCCTCTTCCTGGAGGTCCATAGGTAGTCATAACTGGGGTTCTAATTAGGGTAACTATGGTTATAACCCCCATTAGGGGACTTATAACCCCATTCATAATAGACCCTTAACCCTATACCGCCTATACCCTTATAGAATCCCTATATATCCCTTTAAAGGGACCCTTGAAGGAACCCTTATAACTACCCATGAAACCTCCAAGTTGTTGTTGTGCATGGGATCCAGGCTTTACACCTCCGCTCGAAAAGTCCAAGGAGCTACGCACAGTGGACGAACACCTTGGCGCCTGAAATTGCAACACCTGGACCCCTGACTGTGATGTAGGGGCCTTAATGATTAGAATAGGGTTTTGGGGCCCACTCTACTACATTTTTTCATAAAGAAACCCCCAAAGTATAATTAGTATTGGCAATTATTTAGGCCCCTGGCTGTAATACACCCCTATCCTATAAAGACTGGGCAGATTGGAGGGCACCTCCCGAATCACTTCCACCTCCACGATCTTTTCCACCGGAACTTCCTTCACCACCTCCTTCTCGACCTACGTGACGATTTTTGGGTACGGTTAGGGTTTAGGGTTTTGGGTTTAGGTTATTCGTCAGACATGCCGCAGTATCTACGACATCGGTGCGAGCTTGTCTGTGGACGGATCAGGAGACTCAGCAAGTAGGCCAATATGTAGAACAATGCCTAAAACAAACCGCTAAATCGACCACATCGCATTCTACTTATAGCCTGGCTACTTAGCCCCGTGGCCCTGAACCCCGCCAGAAACCTTTTACATCAACCCTAAAACCGAACCTTGTGAAGTAGGGGTCTATTACCCCAAGGCTCCATGTACCTAATATGGTATACCTATAATTGGGCTTTCATAGGGATCCTAAAGATACTATAGAGATACTTGAAAACCTATAAGCATATACTAGGTAGGTACATGGAGCCTCGGGGTTACGGTCTCGAGCTTTCGAACTTCGCAGTCGCGAAGCGTCGAGATCGCGGGGTGGTGGGGTGCAAGCAAGCGTTTCTTTAGTTCAGGGTTTGGGGATGTACGAGCCAAGCTTACTACCCAGAGTCTCCAACTCATTGAGGAATATTCTTTAATCTAAATTATAGTAATATCCCTAATCTGATTTCTATGATGTATGGTATATTCCTTAATTAAGGGATACAGGAGTCTCTGAGTATACAGGAGGTCGCTGGCCTGTTAGGTGACTGGGCCTCTAGGCAGGGACTCATGGAAACAAAGACGCCGGTGTAGCCGAGGCGAGGTACTATGAAAAGCTCGCCCCATAAAACTCCAAACGACAGCGGCAATCAAATCAAACGACGGCTCGATTGGACAATGGAAGTGCAAATCGCACATAAACACAAGCAGCGGATAAAATATAAGGGCCTTAATAATCAGAATAGGGTTTTGGGGCCCATTATACTATAAGTATAAGAAGGACCCCCCCCCCAAAAAAAAAAAAAAAAAAAATACTTTGCAATTGTTGAGGCCCCTGTAGTAAGAGGGCTGCATGGGCACAGCCGCACCTCGCGGACCACCTCTACCTCGACGATCTTATCAACGGGAACTTCTCTGATCACCTCTTTCTCCACCTCCGTGCGGGGCAGACATGCTGGCTTAGACGTGTAAGTTGGTCATACCGAGCTTGGAAACTGGAGGTTACGATCAATATATGTATATATATATATATATATGTATGTATGTACTTATATTCATAGCAATATATTCGGTTATATTGTATTATATCAAAAACATACATCAAAATATGTATACCTTTACACTTATATTTGCACACACACACACACATATATATATATATGTAATTATGTATGTATCATGCTGTATTCTATTATGTTATATTGTATTGTATTGCATTATATTATACTATACGGCTCGTGCTTCGCAACCCTGAGAAAACCAGATCCTGCGCGCTGTCCGGATGAAAACATGTGCTTGAAAGCAGAAACCAGGCAGGCAAACCACAACTCGGTTTTTTCCGTAGATTGCAGATTTTCGGGGCCAGGTTCTTGCAACTAGGCTTTGGGATTTCAGGCTTAGCATCTGGCGCCAAGATTACTTTCGCCTCAACGATCTTTTCCACCGGGACTTCTCTCACCACCTCCTTCTCCACCTGGCACGAGACGCCTACGGTGAATACGAGGACTAGGGTTCGTAGCCTTCAACCTTGACAGCGACTTCACGAAGTGAGGAAAATGGCATTAGCCATATCCGCAGTTATGGCACCGCCTTGAAGTCGCTACGAAATGATAGGATAGTAGGGTTTAGGGTTCAGGGTTTAGGGGTTTAGGGTTTAGAGGTTTAGGGGTTTAGGGTTCAGCCGTTTAGGGTTTAAGGTTCAGGGCTTAGGGCTCTATACCTGGGCTTTGAAGTGACCAGTGAGAAAAAAGTGTAGACTTTTTTCATACCTATTTAAGTACCAGGCCCACAAACTGTATTAAAGCATGGTACTACAAAACCTCTCTTCTCCAATAACCAGGCCCCAAAAAAGTTCAGACTTTGTAAGATAGACCAACTACATAAGGCCAAAAAGTTTAAAGTTCTCCAATTGGCTAAGTAAGAAACTCAGATACCCTTTTCGACCACGTTACCACCCTTGTAGACCCCCTTGCGATAGAACCCTGGTCAACCCTTTGCCTGCCACCCTGAGGCCCCAAACCATCCTTTAGGGCTTTAGGGTTTTGGGTTTTAGGGTTTTAGGGTTTAGGATTTAGGGTTTTAGGGTTTAGGATTTAGGGTTTAGGGTTTATAGTAAACGGTAAACCCCATAAAGTTGGAAACCGGATTAAGGCCGAAAAGTGCTGGGATTCCCTATACATTACTCTTAATTAAGGATTGAAGCTATTGGGCTTCCAGCTTTTTGGCTTCTACTGTAAACCCCTAAATCCTGAACCCTAAACTCTCAAACCCCAAACCGGAAAAAAAAAAAAAAAAAAAAAAAAAAACTTACCATGAGGCCATGGGCAAGCCCGTAACCCGAAATTTGCGTTGCAGCGAGACCCGGAGCTTCCATGCCGAGTTTCAAGGGTTTAGGGAGGAGACGATCGCTGGGGCTTTGGGATTCGAGGCATTCGAGAGGGTTCAGCAAGGGTTTGCGTGTTTAGGAATTAGTACGTAGCTCTATGGTTGTTTTGGCTCTTGTCAGCTTCAGAGACCAGATAACAGCCCTGCCCGAAAGAACAAAACTGGGCCAACTTGTTGGACATCGGAAGACACAACCCTGTAGCCCTCTTTGTAAAGAACATTGCCGTGGTGGACACCTCGCGGATAGTCTCCACCGGCACCTCCTTAACAACCTCCTTTTCCACCTGCTGCAGGCACAGGCTCAGGGCTCAGGGTTTTCTGGGCTACTCTTGAAGGGTCTAGGACTCGAGCAAACGAGGGAGGCAGGAAGAGAGACAGGGAAAAGAACGATCCAACCTGAAACGAAACTGCTAGATCTGAAGACCCTAAAACCTAATCAATCAAACGCCACCTCGCGCAAGTTCTCAATCCAATAAACCCCGAGCCGGGTTCGGGAGTCCGTTGAAACGGCCCTCGATGAACCTCGACCACCCGCTCGACGACCTTCTCGACAGGAACTTCTTTGACAACTTCCTGAATGCAGAGCAACACACACACACACACCTTAGCAGGATTACTTTGTAGCTTTGTTTGCTAGTTTATTACTGAAGTGAGTTGTCGGATTCCGGGTATCAAAGTTGAGGATGTGCGGCGTCCAGGCTATGACAAATTTAAGGCTTAGGGTTTTGACGGTCGAAGGGGCTTCCCCCGATGTCTCCGGCCGGGAAGAAAAGTATTGTTTTATGCAACACTTCACTCACGGGTCGCAGAACGATCTCACTTGGGACTGGCAGCAATCCTGCACGGGCCTCTTCTGTTTTGAGCGAGCGTAGTTTGGAAAGTAATTAGGCCATAGCTGGAGGCTTCGCGATAAAGGCACCGTTCTCGAAATCATGCAGTTTGGACTAAAATACTTACAAGAAACATGTGACACACACCTATTGCTTCGTTGGATTCCTGTGTCTGCTCTAGCTGTAGGCGGAAGCAGTGCTGATGCAAACAGTAGTCAGTAGCCGGCACCGCGCGACAGAGAAAAAAGACACCACCCTCTGCAACAGCAGCAACGCAATGGCCGGCATCATGACAATCATCCATACAGCCATCTTCACTATCATGCACGACATAGCAACATCTAAGTCGTCATTGGCACCTGGCAAACGATGCCGCAGTGACAAGCGGTGGTCGTCATCGTCGTCGTCGTGAGGTTGTCTGTGGTCCTCGTCGCGGTCGCCGTGGTCCCATGGTCGTCACCGCCGTCGTCAATGTCTAGTGACGGGATCCCCTTCACATCTTAAACTTGCACCGGCAAAAAGATCTTGACAGCCACCGGGGATCCTTCTCGATCTCGACGATCTTTTCCACTGGGACCTCCTTGATGACCTCCACCTGACGGGGCATAGGCTCAGCTCCCTGACGCCCTGCACTTTTTGGTGGGCTTACACCCGGAAGCCTAAATCCAACACGATACACGCTACAGTCACAGAACCTAAATCCTAAATACGCAGTCACACACAATGCAGTTGGCGCTGGGGACGCTGGTTAGGGCAATACTTAGGGCAATACCTCTATAGCGGGGGTAGGCTTCGACCCCGCTTTCTGAGTTCTCGTTCAGGAACTTAATCACCCTAAGGGCCCATGTCCCTTTAATATACTACACAACTACACAACAGTATATACCCGCCAAGCCCTTTGTGCGATTCATCAAGCCCCTTGTGTTTCACCGTCAAGGACCCTTCTAGACCACATTGTCACCCTCGTAGACCCTTTGCGATAGTACCCTGGTCAACAATTACCTAAGGCCCTAAACTCTAAACCCCTAAACCCCTAAACCCTAGACCCATAAACCCCTAAACCCCACACCCTTTTCACCCTGACCATGAGGCTATGAGCAAGCCCCTTACCCGAAAGCATCGCTGCAAAGAGACCCAGAGCTTGAATGCTGAGTTCGAATGGTTTAGGAAGCAGAGAAATGCTCGGGCTTTGGGATTTCGAGGCATTTTATTATTGGGTTGTGCTTAAAACCCTTTGAAAATTATTTATGAATAGGTTCCCTTTATAAGGAAATAAGGGAAACTAAAAATTATCCCAAAGCACAACCCAGTATAGGGTTCAGAATTGTTAGGAAGTGGTAGGTAGCTACAAGGATGCCTTGGCTCTTGTGGCTTCAAAGACCCTCTGAGGCCATACGGGTTTGGGCGGGTTAGGGTCCTGCCATTGCAAGAACGGGCAAGATTGTTAATGGCGTTTGTAGGGCTGGCGGCTCAGGGTACTTAGTATGCAGAGGGCCCATTCTAACATCTCTGTCCGAAAGAAACTCGTAATGTAAAGCAAAAACTGGCCCAACTTGCTTGACATCCAAGGACACAACGCTGTAGCTATCAGTTCTTGTAAAGAGCATTGCCGTCGTGGACACCTCGCGGATAGTCTCCACCGGCACCTCCTTAACAACCTCCTTTTCCACCTGCTGCAGGCACAGGCTCAGGGCTCAGGGTTTTCTGGGCTACTCTTGAAGGGTCTAGGACTCGAGCAAACGAGGGAGGCAGGAAGAGAGACAGGGAAAAGAACGATCCAACCTGAAACGAAACTGCTAGATCTGAAGACCCTAAAACCTAATCAATCAAACGCCACCTCGCGCAAGTTCTCAATCCAATAAACCCCGAGCCGGGTTCGGGAGTCCGTTGAAACGGCCCTCGATGCACCTCGACTACCCGCTCGACGACCTTCTCGACAGGAACTTCTTTGACAACTTCCTGGGTGCAGAGCGACACACACACACACCTTAGCAGGATTACTTCGTAGCTTTGTTTGCTAGTTTACTACTGAAGTGAGTTGTAGGATTCCGGGTATCAAAGTTGAGGATGTGCGCCGTCCAGGCTATGAACAATTTAAGGCTTAGGGTTTTGACGGTCGAACGGGCTTCCCCCGATGTCTCCGGCCGGGAAGAAAAGTATTTTCTGCAACACTTCACTCACGGGTTGCAGAACGATCTCATTTGGGACTGGCAGCAATCCTGCACGAGCCCCTTCTTTTTTGAGCGAGCGTAGTTTGGAAAGTAATTAGGCCATAGCTGGAGGCTTCGCGATAAAGGCACCGTCCTCGAAATCATGCAGTTTGGACCAAAACAATTACAAGAAACATGTGATATACACCTATATTGCTACATTAGATTCCGCTGTCTGCTCTAGCTTAAGCGGCAGCAGTGCTGATGCAAACAGTGGCCGGCACCGCACGACACTGAAAAAAGACACCACCCTCCGCAACAGCAGCAACGCAATGGCCGGAATCATGACAATCATCCATACAGCCATCTTCACGATCATGCACGAAATAAGCAACATCTAAGTCGTCATTGGCACCTGGCGAGCGATGCCGCAGTGACAAGCGGTGGTCGTCATCGTCGTCGTCGTGAGGTTGTCTGTGGTCCTCGTCGCGGTCGCCATGGTCCCATGGTCGTCACAGCCGTCGTCAATGTCTAGTGACGCGATGCCCTTCACATCTTAAACTTGCACCGGCAAAAAGATCTTGACAGCCACCGAGGGTCTTTCTCGATCTCGACGATCTTTTCCACTGGGACCTCCTTGATGACCTCCACCTGACGGGGCATAGGCTCAGCTCCCTGACGCCCTGCGCTTTTTGGTGGGCTTACACCCGGAAGCCTAAATCCAACACGATAAACGCAACAGTCACAGAACCTAAATCCTAAATACGCAGTCACACAATGCAGTTGGCGCTGGGGACGCTGGCTAGGGCAATACTTAGGGCAATACCTCTACAGCGGGGGTAGGCTTCGACCCCGCTTTCTGAGTTCTCGTTCAGGAACTTAATCTCCCTAAGGGCCCATGTCCCTACAATATACGTATCAGGCTGAGAACAGCTCCCTTGCAACATGCGGCCAATGTACACGGTACGTGGGCACATGGACCCTTTTAGAATCACGATGCTTCACTCGTAGCTTCTGGCCTCCTTCACCACTTCTTGAATCTCCTTCTGAGCGGGCAAAGGTCGGAACACCTGGCAGGACACTCCATGTACCCTCAATTACGGGTATGCGACTCCCAGTAGTAAGGGCGGTTGATAACAAGAGCAGGTAGATGTAGTGTCTAGGCAATGCTCTCTGTGTTTAGAGAACTCAAAAAGTAGCGGGAATGTTTCGGTGCTTCCTTATAACGACTTTCTGAAGCCAAGGTTGGGATTCAGGGTCTTAGGGAAATGATTTGGGGCTTCAGGGCCTTACGAGTGTTTCAGGAGGGAATTTGGAGCTTCGGGATCTTGAGGATAAGGTCTGCGGGCTTACGGCTTCCCAAAAAATCCACTAAACCCTCAACCTTGAAGTCCTCAAAACCTGAAACCCTCAAGCCATTAAGCCCTTAAAGGCTTTTTATGCCTTTAACCCTCAAACTCAACCCCTTCACCGCTCCGGTCCACTATACTGAAGATCTCGGGGTCGTGGTCTTAGGATGTCGAGCTGAGAGCTGAATATGCGATAGAACGACTGATGACATAAATCCTGCATTACCTTAAGGACCCTAAACTATGGCAATTATGGTATCTTCCTTATTGTGGGTGGGTGGTTGTCAATATTATGGTCCCTCTTTGGGTCCTTACTACAATACGGCGCCTAATATTTAGGGTACCCAAAAAGGGACCCTAGTTTGACAACTATCCGTGAGGCCTTAATACTGAGAATATGGTCTGGGGCACATTATACGATAGTTAATGTCAAAGGGAACCTCCACTGTAGTATAGGCAAGTATCTATAATACCTCGAAGAGGGCTCCTTTCAGCGACCCTTGTAGGGCTCCTTGAAGGGCTACTACAACGGTTGCGGACATATTCCGTTTTTTTGATGTTGCAGACATGCTTCCCAGGTAACACTACGCTATGCCGCTATAGGCCAAAACCTAAACCGTATATACAGCCTCGTGCGATACCTGTCCCGTATATTCAGAGGACCTGTCATTTCTAAACCTACGAGGCCGCGAGCGATACCTCGGTGCTGTTCAAAAACCAACATGGCCTCCGACAAGATGTCATCGTCAATGGCTTCGGCCAGCCTCCACCAGAGGATTTGAGCCTTCATTGCTCCCGTCAGCTTGTCGCATGTAGCCCCAGTGTGTCAAGCTGCTCGGATCCGCAATGCCACGGAGTTGAATGTAGGGGCCTAAATCATTAAAATAGGGTCACGGGCCCCACTCTGCTAATACTAATAATACGGAGCCCCCAAAATAGTATAGGTAACTATTCAAGCCCCTATAGTATACCTATAGTCTCCATTGTAGCTCCTTTTTTTGGTTAACCAAAATCTCTATTATAGGATCCTAACCATAATTTAAAACTGGTTAACCAAAAAAAGGAACTACAATGGAGACTATAGGTATGAGTTGAGACCCCCATCTCGCAAGGAGCTGATGGTGTGTCCACTTTACAACCGGATATGCCCAAACCTCAAATGTCACAGCCTGGATTCTATAAGCCCTAAACCATTTAAACCCTGAAGCCCTTAAAACCCTGAGCCCTAAACCTCTTGAGCCTGAATCACTGAATCCATGAGACTCTGAACCCTGCACAACCCTATACCTTGTTAACTCGAACCCTTAAGCCGCCACCCCTAAACCCCTAAACCCTCTAAACGACTCTAAAAACACAAAAAAGTCCCTAAGCCCTAAACCCCAAACCCCAAGCACTACCTGTAGGCTCATACCTAACCCCTTGTTTTAGGATACTGCACAACAGATCCTAACCTTGTAACTACGTATCCTCGAAGGGGGGTAGAGTCTGAGCGTCTAGGTAAACCCTTAATGCCACGCCTCCTTTGGGACTTCTACGATCTTTTCCACAGGGACGAACTTGATCACCTCCTGCTTCAGGTGCTTCAAAGGGGAAAAGGAGGGGCCCTTAATGGGGACCCCTACCCTATAATGGGCTATATAATGGGTATATAATAGCTATATTAAGGGTATATACCTAGGGGTCCTTATTAAAGGAATCCTAAACCCTAAACCCTTTATAGAACCCTTTTTGATCCCTTAAATACCTAGGGGTCCTTATTAAGGGTCCCTCCTTTTCCCCTTTGAGTGCTGGGTCGGGTGCAGCATCTTCGGCTTCGGGTTTATAGGGCTTAGGGGGTTGAGGGCTTGTTTTAGGGCTTCTTTATAGTTTTGGGGGTTTAGAGGGGTCTAGGGCTTCTTTATTTATAGGGTCTAAAGGGGTTTAGGGCTTATTTATGGGTTTTAGGGTTTAGGGTTCGAATCCTCATAACAACAACGGTTGATGATATAAATCCTGCATGACCCATTATAGGGAATATACAATAATTCCCATAGTTTCGGGACCTTAAGGTAATGCAGGATTTTTAACATCAACAGCAACCAAGTAACCAAGACATAGACTCTCCAATATTCCGAAGAAACAGTAGATACACTCACCAAACCCCTTAATTTGATACCAACCCTATGTTCTACGTCAAATGATTCCAGGACGGCTTGGTTTTTGTTGTGCCCCAGGTGGGTTATACGGCATACATCATCCGGGTACAGTCACTATGGAGCGTTAATAACTCCCTATACTTTTGGGGGCTTCCTTATTCATTATTCGTATAGTGTAATGGGCCCCAAAACCCGAATAGAATTATTAATTAAGGCCCCTAGAGTAGGGTTTAGGCTTGGGATGGCTTGGGTGCAGGATGCAGGGCTATAGCCTAACGCCCAGATCTCAGCTGAGCTTCCGCTCTCACAAGACTACTCTCTGCGCAGTTACCTTCTCATCGCTAAGGCAACCGCCCCAAACACTCCAAGCCATACTACGGATGATGATATCAATCCTGCATTACTCTAAGGACCCTAAACTATGGGAATTATGGTATATTCCTTATTATTGGTAATGCAGGATTTCTATCATCAGCCGTAGGGTGTTCTGCGAGGTTTGGGGGTTCAGCGCTTTTTGGGGTATGAGCTGAAGGAGCTCTCAGCACTCCAGTCATCCAGGGCACATGAAATGCCGACCGCCTGAGAGTTTAAGCCAAGGAGAAGGATGGGTGAAGCCTAAACCCTACCTGGACCCTAAGGAACCTACCTTCCTTGGGCTCCTTAATACGACTTCCTTCTATGAGTCCAAGAACAGGTAGGTTATTTGGGGTCCAGGTAAACCCTAAACCCTAAATGCAAGTAAGACACCCTCAACCTCTCAGGCCCTGAATAGAGGAGCCCTTTCTTGATAGCCGGCTGCTCCCATAGATGATAAAGTGAAGTAGAAAGTAGGGGAAGCCCCCCAGCCCTACTAGGCAGGGCTTCCAGCTCCTTCAATCAGAAGTCGAAGTTCACCCCTCCTCTCTACAATGCTACAAGCATAATAAGGTTTGCCGGATGTTTTACCTGATGAGCTTATGAACCAGGGCCTCCCTGAACCCCTTCGTAGGACAGCAGGTATTACCTGGACTCCAAGACCTGCAAGTCTAAGCACCTTAAATATAAGGAACTCAAAATAAGGAAAAATCAAAGGTAGGTTCTTTAGGCTTCAGGTCGGGCCTAATGAACCCTAAACCCCTAAACCCTAAAAGCCCACGCCTTCTCCACTTCTACGATCTTCTCGACAGGGACCGTCTTGACGACTTCGACTTCTTTGATGACCTCTCCTTGGAACTCCAAACGCGCTGGCCGTGCCATGAAGGGTCCTTAATAGTTAGGACAAGTTTCCTTTAAACAAGTCTACAAGAACTACCATACGGGCTATTCTCAGGATTTAGTGTAGGGGCCTTAATAATGTGGGTGTCGGTTTAATAGTGGGGTACCCCCCCCCCCCGACCAAAAATAAAAAGTCTATTTAATATGGAACCGGTAGCCCCTGGCAGGGAATTGGGAGGTGCCGGGGTTTGGGGGCTGGCTTGGGTGCAGGGTCTGCGGTTCTGCGCGACTGCGCGGTCGGGGGTCGGGGGGGTCTGGGCCAGCGCCTGAAACCCTGAACCCTGAACCCTAAACCCTAACGAATCCTAACTTCCTAGACCCTATAACAAACCCTAAACCCTAAGCCCTAAACCCTTCCAAAGGGGGGTCGGTCCAGATTCGACCCAAAACTTAATTTTTTATACAAACTTTAGTACTGGAGAGGCCTCTTTTGAGCTAGGGTCCAATCCCCGATTCCGCGGTTCACCCTAGCAGCCCCCCCCAATAATCAAGGTATAGTAGAATAGTAGTACAGTAGTAGTACAGTAGTAGTATAATAATAGTGCAGTAGTACAATAGTAATACAACAGTAGTACAGTGGTAGTACAATAGTAGTACAGTAGTAATACAATAATAGTACAGTAGTACAATAATAGTAGCACAGTAGTAGTACAGTAGTAATACAGTAGTAGTACGATTATAGTACCGTAGTACAATAATAGTACAGTAGTAGTACAGTAGTAGTACAATAATAGTGCAGTAGTACAATAGTAATACAACAGTAGTACAGGGGTAGTACAATAGTAGTACAGTAGTAGTACGATAACAGTACAGTAGTACAATAGTAGTACAGTAATCGTACAGTAGTAGTACAATAGTAGTACAGTAGTACACTAGTAGTACAGTAGTAGTACCACAGTAGTACAGTAGTACAGTAGTAATACAGTAATAGTACAGAAATAGTACCAATAAGCAAAGCATAAAGCCAGTGAGCACATTCTCCCAATAAGCAAAGCATAAAGCCAGCGCCTGAAACCCTAAACCCTGAACCCTAAACCTTAACAAACCCTAAACCCTAACGAATCCTAAACTCCTAAACCCTATAACAAACCCTAAACCCTAAGCCCTAAACTCTTCCAAAGGGGGGTCGGTCCAGATTCGACCCAAAACTTTATTTTTTATACAAACTTTAGTACTGGAGAGGCCTCTTTTGAGCTAGGGCCCAATCCCCGATTCGGCGGTTCACCCTAGCAGCCCCCCCCAATAATCAAGGTATAGTAGAATAGTAGTACAGTAGTAGTATAATAATAGTGCAGTAGTACAATAGTAATACAACAGTAGTACAGTGGTAGTACAATAGTAGTACAGCAGTAGTACAATAATAGTACAGTAGTACAATAGTAGCACAATAGTAGTACAGTAGTAGTACAGTAGTAGTACAATAATAGTGCAGTAGTACAATAGTAATACAACAATAGTACAGTGGTAGTACAATAGTAGTACAGTAGTAGTACGATAACAGTACAGTAGTACAATAGTAGTACAGTAATCGTACAGTAATCGTACAGTAGTAGTACAATAGTAGTACACTAGTAGTACAGTAGTAGTACCACAGCAGTACAGTAGTACAGTAGTAATACAGTAATAGTACAGAAATAGTACCAATAAGCAAAGCATAAAGCCAGTGAGTACATTCCCCCCAATAAGCAAAGCATAAAGCCAGCGCCTGAAACCCTAAACCCCGAACCCTAAACCCTAAAGAATCCTACACTCCTAAACCCTATAACAAACCCTGAACCCTAAGCCCTAAACCCTTCCAAAGGGGGGTCGGTCCAGATTCGACCCAAAACTTAATTTTTTATACAAACTTTAGTACTGGAGAGGCCCCGATTCGGCGGTTCACCCTAGCAGCCCCCCCCAATAATCAAGGTATAGTAGAATAGTAGTACAGTAGTAGTACAGTAGTAGTACAGATTTTCATTCCTGACGCCCCAATAAGCGAAACAATTCTGCAAGAGATTTTCGGGCTTCAGGGCCAGGGTTTTAGGGTTGGGTGGGGGTTTGGGTGGGGGTTCAGGTCGTGGCTGCCCCCAGCCAAAAAAAAACGCATTAATTAGTTCACCCCAATTTTTTTGTCAGATTCGGAATTAGCCCCGGAGCCGACGCATTAAAGGGGCCTATATTCCAAAACCGACACCCACATTAATATCGTCTGGGGGTCTGTTATACCAACAGTATAATAAGGAACCCCCAAACCCTATTCTAACTATTCAGGCTCCTACAGCAATGAAGGGCTAGAGGTTGACAAGGCCATTGCGGTTTCATGAGGGTTAATGAAAAGTTGATGCTGTGGGCTGCAGTTAGCCTGGCATCTATAGTGCCAGTTCCCCGGCTTTCTGCAGCTTTCTCGTAGCGATGCATAAGGACATTCACAGTCTGTAGTCTGTGTTTGCTGAGGGCTCCGCGAGTGATTTTTGGATTTCAAAGTTGCAGATTTGGGCATTTAGGGAGTTGTGAGTTAAGGTGGTGGGCCTCCGAAGGCTTGCAGAAATGACCTTTCGCTTCGCGCGGGATGTCCAAACCATTAGACTCAAAAGGCTAAACTTAACTATAAACCCAAACACACCCTACAAGCACAAGGAAAGTACAAACCCAAACAAAGTCTACAAGTCACAAAGAAGGAAGCCATGAAGTCAGGCAAACAAGCTGAGCAACGAAGCGCGGACACAGGACTCTGCGAGCAATCCCTGCACCTTTTTATCCAAAGATCTCAGCCCGGTGGTTCCGAGGAGCCCAATGTCAGGTTTAGGGTTTAGGGTTTAGGGTTTAGGGGTTTAGGTTTAGGGTTTAGGGTTTAGGGATTAGGGTTTAGGGTTTAGGGATTGAGGGTTTAGGTTTAGGGTTTTGGGTTTAAGGTTTAGGGTTTAGGGATTGAGGGTTTTAGGTTTAGGGATTGAGGGTTTAGGGATTGAGGGTTTTAGGGTTTAGGGATTGAGGGTTTTAGGTTTAGGGTTTTGGGTTTTGGGTTTAGGGTTTAGGGATTAAGGATTGAGGGTTTTAGGTTTAGGGTTTTGGGTTTAAGGTTTAGGGTTTAGGGATTGAGGGTTTTAGGTTTAGGGTTTAGGTTTAGGGTTTAGGGTTTAGGGATTGAGGGTTTTAGGTTTAGGGTTTAGGGATTGAGGGTTTTAGGTTTAGGGTTTAGGGATTGAGGGTTTTGGGTTTAGGGTCTAGAGTTTAGGGTTTTGGGATTGAGCCTTTTGGGTTTAGGGTCTAAGGTTTAGGGTTTTGGGTTTAGGGATTGAGCCTTTTGGGTCTAGGGTCTAGGGTTTAGGGTTTTGGGTTTAGAGGGTTTAGGGGATTCTGATGATAAGTATTCTCATTGGAATTATATACTATTCTGACTATCGTTCTGACTGCCAGTCTGAGAAAGTCCCCTATTTACGGCTCTGCATAAGCACCCGCACTTTTTAATGCCTCGGGGCCCAAAGACCCCAAAGACCATACTACCAGATGGCTCCAATATCCCTTAATCAAGGAATATACCTTAAAGAATGTTACTCCCCTAGTATGATTTAAGGCATACATATCGCTTAATTAAGGGATATTGGAGTCTCTGGGTATATGTCTCAGGCCTTATCTCTTCTTTGAGCCTAGGGGTTAGCAATGCTGTCCCTTACAGCCCCTGTATGAGCATGCGGATAAGAATGCGTAAGACTGCCGGTCTTCTTTGAGGCCTTTAGTCAGCATTGTTCCCTTACAGTCCCTGTGTGAGCATACTAGTTTTGAAAATGCCCTCCAAAAGCCTACATATTCAAGCCCTTCCATTGCATTTTGTTTGGGTTGAAGAGCCTGCGGTCCAACTGAGATTTTCTAACTCCAGACCCTAAACCCTGCACCCCCATATAAACTGGAGAAACTACACCCTAAACCCCTATACAAACTGCTGGAGAATCTAAACCCTAAACCCCTATACAAACTGCTGGAGAATTTAAACCCTAAACCCCCATATAAACTGCTGGAGAATCTAAACCCTAAACCCCTATATAAACTGCTGGAGAATCTACACCCTAGACCTCTACATACACTGCTGGAGAATCTAAACCCTAAACCCCTATATAAACTGCTGGAGAATCTAAACCCTAAACCCCTACATAAACTGCTGGAAGATCTAAACCCTAAACCCCTACATAAACTGCTGGAAGATCTAAACCCTAAACCCCCACATAAACTGCTGGAGAATCTAAACCCTAAACCCCTATATAAACTGGAGAATCTAAACCCTGAACCTCTATATAAACTGGAAAATCTAAACCCTACCTATAGTCTCCATGGTGGTTCCTTTTTTTTGGTTTGACCAACTATAGATTATGGATCCTGTAAGGTAACCCCCAAAAGGTCCTACAATGGAGGCTACAGGAAAAAAAACCTCAAGCCTCTGACGATCGCGGGTGACGCTAGGGCCTGCTCCTTGGAGACCTGAACTCCTGAACCCAACTGGGAGTTTCCGAAAATTAGGGCAAAACTATGCACCATGCAACCTTGCCATGAGAGACTCTATCTCACATAGAGGGAACGGAAGGGAATACGCTTTAGCACACACTCAAGCTTCCATAGACAACTCTCAACCCTAAAAGCCCCTATACAATAAGCCCAAAAGCCCTGATGAACTGCCAGCCACGTCTCTGACTCTCTCGACTTCAACAATCTTCCTTGGGCGGGGCGTAGTATTTAGGGTTGCGGGTTTACGGCTTACATAGGCTTAGGGTCTAGGGTTCAGCGCTGCGTTTAGGGCTGGGGCTCTAACGGTTTACCGGTATACCTATAGTCTCTCCTGCAGATCCTTTTCTAGATAACCTCGTCTGTGTGATAATGCATCTTAGCCAGAACATTGGTTGCCCCCGATAAGGAATTATTACATGGGCGTTTGTATAATAGCTAACTTTTACTTTTACCTCACTTCGTCGACTGTATGTCAGGGCATAAAGAAGGAAGTCATATGAAGGACTGCTAGAAAATGTAGGTTCGTTGGGCTTTCTTGCTCTACCACGACGGGGCACATGCATGAATGCCAAGAGAGCAAGGACGGCCTCATAATTATACTGAAAGCTGGATATACTCTAAGCTAGGACCTGAAACTTCATTCCGGCTTGATCACGGTTTAGTATAAGGCAAAGGGCATAAGGACTCAGTACTTAGTCTTTCATTCAGAGCCCTGCGCGTCTTGATGCGGGCATTGAGTCACAGGGTTGGTTGTCAAAATTAGGGTCCCTTTTTGGGTCCCTATTATAATACGGCACCTAATATTTTGGGTACCCAGAAAGGGACCATAATTTTGGCAACCACCCATATGTGTGTGACAACATGAAGCCGAGCATCTCTACGGGAACTTCCTTGATGACCTCCACCACCTTCACGACCCTGCCCAAGCGATGGTCTGGAGTACTCTCTTCTCCAATAACCAGGCCCCCCAAAAAGTTCAGACTTTGTAAGATAGACCAACTACATAAGGCCAAAAAGTTTAAAGTTCTTCAATTGGCTAAGTAAGAGTATGGGGTTGAAGGTTTAGGAAGTGCAGGGTTTAGGGTTTAGGGTGCAGGGTAGGGTGAGATTCCTTGCGGAACCGCGCTGGGCGACTCTGTAACCAGCGCTCCAGCGAGACATTGCTTCGAACCTTTAATCCGAACGACGTCCTAAAATCCAAAGCGTAAACCCTGACACCGTTCATATACCCTGAACAAACCCTGAATATTGCCGTACGCCTATATGGTATAGAATTCATCGGGACCTTACGAAAAGGTAGGGTTTTGCAGGTGAAGGTAGTAGCAAATTCAGCTAGCTCTCGACGATCCCTTACTAACTCCCTACACTCGACCCAATTATGAAACCGTCCCTAAACCCTAAACCCTAAGAACCGTGCCAGAAATCACTACAACAGAGGCCTCAAAAATTATGGCCAAATTCGGAGACGGATTATACCCTATGCATAAGCAGGAACCCTGAGCAATAATTTCAGTTGCAAAAGGTCCAAGTACTCAATATAGTACCTACTTCGTAGACGATTGGCTCGCAGAAGTATTATACTACTGTACACTATTACCTGGACACTTTGGGTAGTTATTTCGACCCCTAAAGCCTACTATAGGGGCCTAATAATTAGAATAGCTTCTTGGGGCCCATCATGCTACATAATGAGGAACCCCACAAAATAGTATTGGTAATTATTTCGGCCCCTATACTTGTAGTACCCCTTATTGACCCCTGTAAAGGAACCACCAAATTTTATAGCTAATTATTGAGGCCCCTATATTAAACACCCCACCTCTCCGCTGGAGGCTTTGCAGGTGCATTTGACTCGGAGACTTCGACCGTGGGCGTTGCCTCGGCAGCGCTTACTCAAGGCTTTATCTGGAGACGCAGCCTTTAAGTACCTTGCTACAAAGCAGAATGCAAGGAAACACAGCTATCTGGAGACTAAAAATACCATAATCAGGTGGCCCCTACCTTTTATTAAGGTTCCGTAGTATTACAGGTGTCTTGGTGTAACTCGTTAAAGCTACAATAAGGCAGGGTTCTGGGCTAGTGGCAAGCCCTAGATACGCCCAAAGGGGACCTCCACTGGACTACGGTACGAAATGTTGGGTGTTCAGGTAGGCTTTGGATTCCCAGAGACTGCAATAAGGTTCCTTTAAAGTTTAAAGGGATCTTGAAGGGTTCCTGCAAGGGATCTATGAGGTTTCTTTAAAGGGATCTATAAGGGATCTACAGGGCTTTGGATTCCCAGAGACTCCAATATCCCTTAATTCAGGAATGTACCTTAACTCTTATTTTGGGGTCCTACTATAATTTAAAATATATTCCTTAAGTAAGGGAGAATGGAGTCTCTGGGTGGCTTTCGCGGTTCAAGGTCCAGGGTCTAGGGGCCTTACAGCCCTGAACCAGTGAACTTCGCACGGTCTTGGGAACCTGGATGCCTGCCTGTGAAGGGATATCATACATGTAGAAAACCCTCAATGCAAACACTCCGAACATAGAGCCCTTAACAAAAGGGTTTGCCGCTGCAAACCCTGTACAAAACCGAACCCATATCCCCTTCTCATCCCTTACACTAAGGCTCAAAATAGCACAAGAGCACACAACAGCCTTATATAGTATGGTCTTTGGGCCGAAAAGCCTTCAAATTTGAGTCCTTAGCGCCCATGGTTAGGGTTATCTAAGCCGGAGGCGAGGCCCTCTGCAGAACCCCTAAAGCCCCAAACCTTTATAAGACCTCAAACAGTCCCGAAACCTCAAGCTCTTAAAGAAGAAACCCTAAACCCTAAAGCTTAGAGTTTAGGGTTATTTAGTGTTTAGGGTTCAGGGTTTAGGGTTTAAAGTTTAAACCTTAAGCCTTAAACTCCTAAACCCGGAAGCAGCCGTAAACCTTGAACCCCGAAATCCTAAGCTCTCAAACCTTGAAGAAGCCCTAAACCCTCACCGAGGCCCTAAGCTGAAACTCCCTAAAGGGAACTCCAGAAAGTTGGAATATGGATTCATGGTAGGATCCCGTATAGTTTACCTTAAAGGGGTTACGATAATGATATTCCAACTTTCTGGCTTCTACTGTAGACCCTCGCCGCAGTGGAACTGAGGCCTTGTCTTTGTTCGCCGACCTTGTGATTTTGATGCTACCGCCAGGCCTTCCGCGAGAAGGTCTCAGGGTTGCGGCGGGTCAAGAACCTATACTGAACTCAGAACCCCAGCAAAAACTATAATTTTAGCTGTTCTTAGGGATTATAATAACAAAAAATTGAAAACTATTTCTAAGTACCCCTAAGGAACCTTGATACCGTGAAGCCTACAGGAGTCTACAGCCCCCGCATCCCAGAGACTCCAATATCCCTTACTTAAGGAATATGCCTTAAATCATATTAGGGATCCTACTATAATTCAAAGTAGTATATTCCTTAATTAAGGAGGGAGAATGGAGTCTCTGGGATAGCCATCAAATGCGGTCAGGAAACGAAGACCTCTGAAGCCGTAACTCCAACAAACCACCCTTGACCGGAAACTCCCAACGACAAGCACTAATTAGATCCGACGCTTTGTGGAGATCCACGCAACAAAAACACAACTCAAAACGATAATCCACACGGTTTAGGGTCTAGGGGTTTAGGGTTTAGGGCAACAGCATGCAAAACACCACGGCCCTGCTGGCCTGCAGCTTGGGGCACAGCGCTCCTGCAAAGGGTGCTGCCGAGAAAGCTCTGATGGCTGTAGGGTCGGATATTTACATATATACATATATGTGTACATATATATATATGTATGTACATATATATATATATATATATATATATATATATATATATAAGTGTACATATATATATATATATATATGTTATAGATATAGTTATAGATACAGATACAGCTAAAGATATATATATATATATATATACACATATACAGATATAATGAAAAATATTTTATGTATGTTTACATGCACTGGAAACATACATACGTACATACATACATGCATACATACGCAGATGCATACATACATACATACATACATACATACAGACATAGCACACATACATACATGCATACGTACATACATACATACGTACATACATACCTACATACCAACAGACATTACATACATCGTATGCATGCATGCACACAGTATAATATATGTACACATGATGCCATGAACCTTAAACCGTAGGCCCTTGCATGGACATTGGAAGTCATGTCTGTTTCGGAGCATCCTCGTGTTCCGGGCACCTAGGTATCCTTTCTCCCGCAGAAGACTAACTTGGTCCCAAGCCCCCCAAAACCGAATTTTTCGGTACTTTGGACACACCAAATGCCTTATACAACCTTCTCCAACCTGTACAGAACATGAATAGAACCTTCCTGGGTGGCGATTATGGCTAGTTCGGCCCTTGGACTGTTATAGGAAGCTCCGGCTCAGATTGCGATCATGTTGGGTCCGGGGTGGCTTTAGGGCTCTTACTTTTGCGTGAAAGTGCACGGTTCAGGGGTTTCGGTTTCGAGTCTAGTTTAGGGTGTACGCTCCAGTCCAGGTTCATCGGTAAAGGTTGCTGTTGCTTAGGGTTTCGGGGTCACGGGTAGCAGCAAAGTGGAGGGCCTACATCCCTCATTTCTAGTTGCTGAGATTCCTGGCCCGAACGAAAACCGTACAGATATATACCCCCAAACTACAAGTAACCTAGGTTGCCGATTCAGCTACTCAGTACGTGCATTGTCCGATAAAGGGAACGAAACGGCGGCTCCGTAGCCTTGGGGTGACATTACCGGCCACACACGATGTTGTTGTGGTTTAGGTACGGCCCCCTTACAGTAAGAGTCTATAATGGGGCTATTATTAAGGTCCTAATATAGACTCTTACGAATATTATTCAACTATTACTGAGTGGGGGCCGTACCTAAGTTGTGGTTGTTGCTGCTGTTGTTGTTGCTGCTGTTGCTGTTGTTGATTCAGTTGTGGGCACTGGTGTGGGGAAAAGGGGGGCATGGTGCTCCTTGTACCACTTTTCTAGGCTTGGGGTTTAATCACCGGATGCCAACTTTGCAACTTGCGGTTTGTACTGCAAACCATATATACCGTCAATCCCGAAAACCCTCGAACCCTTCCAACTAAACCCCGAAGCCCTAAAGCCCTCAACCCCCAGACCTTAAAACCACCCAAAAAACCCAAAGCGCAAAAGCCCTCAACCCTGAAGAATCGGCAACAGAAGCTACGAGACGGTTCTTGCCGCCCCAGAATTCGAATCGACTTCTGTTCTCCAGGCCATGGAAACGCCTCTAACTAAGCTTACTTGGAGGTTCATGGGTAGTTATATAAAGAGTTATGAGTCCCCTAATAGGGGTTATAACCATAGTTGCCATAGTTACCGTTATTTTCACCCCACTTAAATAGAACTACCCAGGAACCTCCAAGTACAGCTCATAAACCCTATAAGCCTCTTCGCGCGAAGCCCTAAACCCTTAATTCATAAGTCAAGCGCCGCGAAACCTCAAAATCCCAAAACCCAATATATACCCAGTGACTCCAACACCCCTTAATTAAAGAAATATGCCTACATTAAAATAGGATCCCGAATATGACTTAAGGTATATTCCTTAATTAAGGGATATTGAAGTCTCCGGGAAACCCAGACTCAGATTCGGATCGAAGTCAAAGATTGCCTGACATCCCCTTAGCAGCCCCGTAATTGGGAGTTTCCGAAATTGGGGGGGGGTACCTTACTTTGGGGTCCTTATAATAAGGATCATACTATTTAGGGTACTACATTAGGGTCACCTACTTTCGGAAACTCCCAATTAGGGTGGCCGCTTGTCCACTTTTGCAGGGTTTCTGCCTGGCTCCTCGGCATCCCTTCTTAGTCAGGGAACCCGTTTCCTTCTGTTTAGTCATAGAGTCACAGCGCGGACTTCAGAGACGTCAAACTAAAGAGGTCCATGTACCCAAACAACATATACTTTGGCCCCAAACTACGAAACCCTATACCGTAAACCCCTAAACTTTTCTCTTCGGACTACTTTATGAATACATGGACCCATGGGGCTATTATTACAGTACCCTTATAAATCCCTTATAGTAAGCCTCAAAGGACCCATTTAAAGGAACCCGGTTCCTACGCTACATGCACCCCATGGGGCCGGTCCCCAAAGCCCGCCTGCGGTGCTGGAGGCGGATCTGGAGGTTCGACGCCCTTTGCTGGACCCATGGTTTAGAGTTTAGGGTTTAGGGTTTAGGGTTTAGAGTTTAGGGTTTAGGGTTTAGTAACAACCTATAGGAATAAAAAGGGCGAGCTTTTTGGTTTAAAGGCGCTTATAAGGGAACCTGAACCCTAAGAAAGGGAATAAGGGCCTACTCTAGGTCATGGTTTGCGGCTGCTGAGGCCAAGCCGAAAGACTCTTCTGGGGGCTCAAGGAGTTTAGGGCTTTAGGGGTTTAGGGGTTTAGGGCTTTGGGTTTTAGGGTTCGGTTTAGGGTTTAGGGGTTTGGGGCTTAGGGTTGAGTTTTTTTGTGTTTTTGGGCTTAGGAGACTCAAAACCAATTTCAAGAGTCTTCTTTGAGTAATTTCAAGACAACCTCTCTATTTTGTGGCACGATTCCTCTTGTTTCTGGTACTACAGATCATAGCAAGACACCCCCTCCAATTTCGGGGTTTTTCCTTTGTGGAAGGATTTTGGGTTTTGGGGCCTGGGGTTCGAGAGCTGGGTGGAAATCTTGCCTCAAAAGTCAACCAGGTAGGATTTCGGAGTTGAGGCTTTTGGGGTTCAGAGCCTATAGATTGAGAGCTTAGTGTTTCCGAGCCTCTGGTGCAGGGGTTAGGCCACAGGTTTGAGGGTTTGGTGGGAGCGCAGTTGCATGATGTTGCATGCGTAGTGGGTTCGTAGGACACTAACCTACTACATGAGGGGTAACTGGGCTTCATTCTGGGGCATACTGTGATACGAGCGACAATCCTTCCGGGTGTACACCCGCCGCAGCCCCAGATGCTGAAACGTGTTCACAACATCCTGCTCGCATCGTCGTGTTCTCTGCGCCGAGAGCCCCTAAACATCCCTTAACCTTTACACCCTAAAATCCCTAACCCTAAACCCTCTTAGGCCCTAAACTACCGCCCAAAAACAGAAAACTGAACATACAAGGTCTCAAATCCAAAGCATCCAAGTTCAATCAAAGGCCGCGGTGCATCATCAACTGGAGGCTTCGGTGCTGCAGTGACACTCCTGCAGGTTCTACATGCCCAAACAGCAGGTTGCTTTAGTTGCTGTTTTTTGGGGTAGTTGGCCTCATGGACACTCCCATCGAGGTCGGGACTATGGGAAACCCTAAGTCTTCCACTTGCGAATTGTAGGTAAACCGCGACTGCCTTTGACCAGTACTGCTATTTCTCTAGGGCTCCACGTATACAAATAGGACCTACTTTGGGATCTAAAGTCTACAAATACTACCTACTTTGGGCTTTTTGGAGCCCGAAGGTTTCTACTTTCCGACACAATCCAAGTTTAGACTTCAGGGCGAGGCACAGGGCGTTTTGGCTTTGCGACCACTTCGTAAACCAGGCTATCGGTTCTTCGAAGGCCGAAAAGCCACGTCTGCTGCTTCGACTATGGAGCCGAGCTTTCAAACCTCGTCTTCCAGGACCCTCCTTGTACCCTCAAATAGGGGTATATATGGTCCCAAATAAGGGGCATTTAGGGTCTAATAGGGGGTAGATGGAGGGTCTAGGTTGCCTTGAGCTTGGGCTTAAGCCTCAAAGTGGTGACTGTGGGTTTTGGGGCAACTGCTCCTTACAAGGCCCCCTTCCAGGGAAACAGTGTCGTGACTTAAGCTTGCGACTTACATGCGTATTGATTTGGGTGCAGGCACCGCGCCGGGGTTGGGTTTGAGGGGTCGACGAATGTTACTCCCCCCACCCCAACACCGAAAACCTGCAACACCCTGTAAACATGTGGGTACCCAAAAAAGGACCCTAATTTTGGCAACCACCCATGTGCACAACCTCAGCGCCATGTACAGGCGCCGTCCGCTCAAATCCGCAAAACCCTCAAAACGGGCACCTCCTTTCCAACGATCCGAAGGAGTTGCTCAGGTCGACCACCGAAAAGGAGCTCCTGCTGAGGGTTTGCTAGGAAAACGAAAAGGGTGTCTAGGGTTTGGGTTCATAGGAGTTGTCCAGGATCTACGGTGAGTGGTAAGGAGATGTTGTGTTTGGGGGGAGTATTTTCGTTGAGGGGTCCTAAACCATAAGAGTCCGACTACCTTGGGGCACCGTATCCTGTGAAGTGCCCTGCTGTGACTGAAGGATCTAGCTTGTGAGGATTTAGCGATGGGACGGATTGAAGCATCTGGGTGTGTATTGTTGGGTTGAGTTGCTCACCTTACACCAAAACAACATCAACGACGGATGGTTTCAGCTCTGGCTTTTGATACCCTTACATAAATCCTGATTTTTTGTGCTGAAACGTAGGATGTGTTTAGACTTTGGGGTTCAGAGGTTTGGGGTCGGAAAAGGCCCGGGTTTCGAACGTCCAAGTTGCCGACCCGGAGACTTTAGCATTCCTGCATCAAGGGTGTCTGACCGAACTACATACCACTAGCTTGAAGCTCATTTTTTTGATTGCTTCGAAAATCTCTGATAGGTTGCGTGGCCCCAGAAGCGTTGCCCTTCACGGAAGCATGAAATGATGTATCTCCAGGAAAAGCTTCAGGTTCCCTCCTGAACTAAAACTTTTCGGGGTTTAGGCATATAGGGATCGCAATGTGCGGCCATTTGTTTGGCTTATGCATTTGTGAGTTTCATGTTTGCAGGGTGTAGGGTTTCAGGGCTTTGGGCATTCTTGGCAGGTTGGGGCTCGGTGGTTGTTGGGCTTGTCGATGGTGATGGTGATCATTGTAAGGGTCCCGCTCGTTGCCGCTGGCACGATGTACGCACCTTTCTACCCATCCTCTGGCAGCAGGGCGAAGACCGCCTTCAGCTCAGCCAGCGCATCACGATTGTTGCGGAACATGTGTTGCCCGCCAAGTCCTCCTGCATCTTCGAATCCATGCGAACCTTGAAAATGCAGCGGTTCCGCCGGTTCGTCAGCCACTAGATTACCCCGTCCAGCCCGTTTGCAGCCTACCACCCCAACATGTAAGCTGGGCAAAGCAGCCTTCCCAAAGCCCAGGATTTTAAATGCCACATCGTTTTTATGATTTTCATAAAGCCAAAATAGTCGTCAAAGGGATGACCTTCAACTCGTGCTGTTTAACACAAAAGCCCCAAGACGCCTGATGTCTCCGACCACCCGCTTCAGCGCAGCAGGGCGGGCAAAGACTCCTCTGCAGAATCTGACTATGCGGGGTCATGAATAACTAAAATAAGGGGCTTTCGGGGTTTCCTGAACACCGAACAAACTACTTGTTCATAGATGTATATCAGACAAACCGCAACGAGGAGCCCGATGAGCGAGTCGATCTCAACGTATGTCCGGATTCTCCACGGTATGTTTGAGGGCACAAATCCGCCGAAGTTGCCACCTGTAAAAAATACTTGTATGAAACGAAAACAGGGCTTCGGGAGAATATTGTAGATCTTTGAATCTGAATAGTAAGCCACTGTCTTAAGTTGCTCATGCTCGTATCCTTGCTACAATCCGGGAGGGCGTTTACAAATAAGGGCCTGCATTGTGAAGCCAAGTCTACACGATGTCAACGAACCTGAAGCCACGTCCAGACCTAGCACAACAACCGTTTTTGCAACTCCTGTGCAGGCCAAAGATCCGAAATATCCTTACACCCCAAACCACAACCCTTGACCCTAACAAGTTCTGCACAAGCCAGAGCAGAAAAACTTTTTGAGCCTGAAAGCCTAGCACCCCGGATCCAGGAGAAGCCCACTCACCCCATCAATGAATATTAGACAGGACATGTAAAGATGTAAGGAGCCCCAAAACTCTAAACACCCTCCGTTCCCGAAGCCCTACAGCCATGCCCGAAACCCGAAACCGTAAACCCTACAGCCCTAAACCCTAGAACCTTAAACCCTACACCCCCAACCCTAAACCCTTAAACCCCAAACCCTAAACTCCTAAACCCCAAACCCTAAACCCTAAACCCAAACCCTAAACCCTACGTCCCAAACTGCCGAGAGCGCCGCTGACCATTTGCATGGGCGCTCGAGGCTTCGACCGAACGTCCCGTCAGAACGGTGAGGGACTTGTGGCGTCAGCATACTAGGCTGCTCAAACCCCGCAGTGCTACTGGCTACTGTGGTTTCTCGAACCGTGCCTTGAAATGGTTGCCTGACGGTCCTCTCTGGCATCTTGCCAAGTTGTTTGATATGTGCCGCCGCTGCGGCTACCCATCACATCTTGCGAAAGCCACGGTGCATACACTCGCCAAAATTGACCTTCCTCGGCGCATGAAGGACGGCAGGCCGATCACAGTCTTTTCGAACATCTATCGGTTGTGGTCATCAATTTGCTCCCGGAGCATCCTCCGGGCCTGGGCGGCCTGGCTGCCGACGGCAGTTGCGGGATCAGTGCCTGGTAGAAGCGTACGTGATGTTTCATTGACGCTCCAGGCCCAGGTTGAGGCTGCCATCATGGACAAGCGGCCTTTGGCCGGAGTGAGTGTTGACATTATCAAATGCTTCAATCAGATTCCCAGAGCCCCGTTGGTGCAACTTCTCCGCCACTTGCACGTCCCTGAGTCTGTGATCTCGCTATGGCAGGACTTCTTGTCCAAGGCACTGCGTCACGCCGTCTTTCTTGGGGAAATCGGCTTACCGACTGGCAGCACGACTGGGGTGCCTGAAGGATGCCCGCTGAGCGTGCTCTGCATGGTAGCGCTCTGCTGGTATCTGGCCAGCCTGCCCCGACCTGACGACTTGCAATTGTACACCTATGTAGATAACTTGTCCGGTCCTCCCTGCAGTGTGCCATTGAAACTGCATTGCGATTCTGCAGAAATTTGAAGCTGCCGATTGATTGGACCCAGAGCTTTGCATGGGCTACAGCTAATAAGTTGCGGAGATGGCTTGTGTCTGACGCACAGGGCCTCTTGCCCAACGGTGCCGCTCTGAAGGTTGTCTCTAGTGCAAAGGACTTGGGTGTTCAGTTTCGGTTTCAAGCCAGGGGAAAAGCAGGTGCAGTTGCTAAGCGTCTGGAAGAAGGGCGCCGTCGGTTGTCCACGTTGCAGTCATTGTGCCGTCCCCTGCTTAGCAAGGCTCGGCTCATCCAGGCATCAGTGTGGCCGGCTGCTCTCTATGGCATGGAAGGTTCCTTAGTCACGGAGGCGGCGGTGCAGAAGCTACGCTCCTCGGCTGCTCGTGCGATGCTTGGGGATCATAGTGCCATGTCGCCTGTGTTGGCATTGTCGGCTCTCACGCCCACGGTCGATGATCCTGAGGTCTTCCTGTTGGCGCAGTACTGCAATGACGTCATTGTGTGCATTGCAACGTCATCTCATGATTTCTCCTGAAATTGGCCGGCCGTGGCTGCGACGCACGGTTGCCTCACTTGAGTCTGTTGTGTTTAGAGTCGTTGGACCTGCTACTGCCCTTGCAGGGTTGCTGCGCAGGGGAGGGTGGTCGTTGAGTACTTCGGGTTTTGCCAAAGGGCCCGGTCATCTGCAGATTTCGGTGTTTCAGAGTAACCCTAGGCAGATCCGCGCTGCCGTGCGGCAAGCATGGAGGGAAGGTGTCCCTGCCCAAATAGCGCATTGTAATGGACTTGCGTTCACCGACCCACCGGCGCCCCAGATCACACATAAGGTGCTGCAGACCTTTGACGAGGGCCTGCAAGTCCATTTGGCCAGAGTGGTAGTCGGTGCATTGCTGTCTGATGCGGCCAAGGCGACCTGGGACAGACTTCAATCCCCACTTTGCCAGTTCTGTGGTGCCATGGACACAAAGCATCACCGTGTGCTTCAGTGTCCTGCTACTGCTGTCGCTCGGAAGCCTTTCTTACCTCTGCTACAGATCCTTGACCAGGAGTCGCCCGAGTGGTTTCATTGCCCCTTCCCCAGCTGTCATGCGTCGGAGCCTTTTCTCCGTCTGCTGTGGCATAGCCGAAAGGTTGTGGCCCCTCCGCGCCCGGAGTTGAGCATCCCATCGCTTGAAAGTGCAGGTGAGATACATTTCTTTACAGATGGTACCTGTGCCCACCCAACAATTCCAGAGGCTCGGCACGCAGCCTGGGCGGTGCTTGTCTACATTGGACCGTTTGCTGCGGAATGGTTGCAACAGCAGTGGCGCCAGCGGGACAGCATTGCCTCCTGTTTTGCTGTAGTTGCACAAGGGGTTGTACCGGGCCAGCAAACTATCTCGAGGGCTGAAGTGCTTGCATTGTGTCAGGCAGCATGGGTTGCTCAGAGTTTTCCCCAAGGACAGATCACCATCTGGAGCGACTCTCAGACTGCACTGAAGCTGTCGAGGGCGCTGCAACAGCAAACGGCTGAAACCAACCACTTCGCTTCCGACTTGATTGCAGATGTTCCAGCTGGTGTTTTTGAGAGCACGAAGCTTCGAAGATTGCCGCGCACGAGCAAGTTGAGACGGTTCCCACGGAGCTGGTGTTGCCGACTGTCGGCAACCATCTCGCAGATACAGCAGCAAAGGCCGCCCGCCGGACGTGGCACAGGATACTTGTGCAGAGGTCGCCGCCCATTATCAAGAGCAACATGACCGTTTTCTGGCCTACTGTCAGTACCAGGTTGAGCTGCTTCGAGTTGCCAAGCCTCTACGTGCTGAGGCGTGCAGGGAGCAAAAGTTGAACTACCAGGTTGAGGACTTGACGCGTCTTGCTGTTTCCAACAGGTGGAATCAACTGCAGCTGCTGCCCGCTGTGACCGAGCATGAAGAGACGATCTCGGAGCGGCTCTCAGCGAGCCGTGACTACAAAACAGCTCTCAAGGAGTGGAGCAGTTTACTGGTCTGGCCATCGGAGGTCCGGTTTGACCATGCCTTTATTGGGGTTACTTTCCTGGAGTTGATGATCAATTTCATCGTGTGTGCTGGCATGCTGCCCCGCGTAGGCGCTCGCAGTGCACAGGATGGAGTTGATCTCTTGTCGGCTCAGGGAATCTTGCAGCCAGTGGTGCTGCGCGAGTTGGTTGTTTCCTTCATTGCATCTATCAGCTGGAGCGAGAAGGCAGAGAGGTGCACGTGGTTTGACAGCCCACCACACAGACGCATTCGAAGTCTCGAGTTCGCAGGATTGTGCACGGCCCGCAAGGGCTTGCTTAAGCGACCAGTTATGCCTCGGTATGGTGAAACCATCCGCTGCGCCTACAAGGTCTTGACAAGTCAGTCTCCCGGGGAAACTCTCAGGGATGCTGCACTTCAAGTAGCTCGGGAGCAGTAATACACTGTGACCGCAAAGGACGATGGAAGCTTGGACGTTCGAGAGATGCGGAGTCGCTGCTTGGAGGCTGGCCCGCATTCTCTCTTCAGAACCCGTTAAAGGTAAAGCGTCCCGGTATACGAGGACTGTAGTGACGACGATTCGCGAGTGACTTCTTTGCCGTCAGGCAATAAAGAAGAACCCCAAACCCACGACCATTGATGTCTTTTTGGGTCTGGCCTCCAAAAAGGGACCCCCCAGGCGGGGTCTAGGGCCTCCAGCGAGCAGAGTTCAAGGAATCAGGGGCCCCAAGGGGGACCTGGACACAAAACTGCCCTGCCCTGCCCGCGCCCTCTGCCCTGGCCCTCTTTGCCCTGCCCTGCCTTGTTCACACTTCGAGCAGCCCTTACAGGGCGCGAGAACCAAGTTGTTTGTTGGAAACCTTTGCTTTTCGTCGAGCGGCCGGCACAGGCCGCGAGGACCCACAACCCGACAGCAATCCAATTCTGTGATTTCTGAAGAAATATTGTTGTTTACATGTCGAGCTGCGAAAAGAAGCAGAGAGCAAGAAAGCCCCCCTTGAGGGGGGTTTGGGGAGTGAACCCTAAACCCTAATTGAGAATAGTTGGGGTGGTTGGGGCGGGACTACATGCGGACGCAAGCGCGCGATTAATGAGTGCGCCCCTTATTCCTAAAGTCAAAGGCCCACCCACCGCGCGCATACTGTTACACACCTTAAACCCCAAACCCTAGACCCTAAACCGCTACGCCCTAAACCCCTAAACTCTAAACCCAAACCGTAGACCCTAAACCCATACCCTAAACCCCAACCCTAAACCCAACCCTAAACCCAAACCCTAAACCCTCAAGAAATAAGTAAATAAAAATTGCTTGTCGCTGCTGGCATTGATCCCCCTAAACCGTCATTTTCAAGCCCGGCCCAGCCTTAAAATCAGGTTCCAGACACAAACCTCACCGAATTCAAATCAGGTTCCAGTTGCAAGAATCCACCAAAATTCAATCTCAAATTCCAGTCCCAAAACTTTTCCCTTTTAGCCACAAAGCTCCGCACCCACCCAGCCCAGCCCAGCCCAAGCCAGCCACCCAGCCCAGCCCAGCCGAGCCCCAGCCCACCGGCGAACAGCCTCCCGACGAGCACGCTCAGGAAAGAAAGCCACCACGAGGACTAACGAACGACATACACACGAGCCTGCGGAGGCAAGGCTCTCCAATCTCATCCTGCAACAACCGATACGGGAAACTGCTTCCAGACAAAACTCTCCGATGCGGCCTGCAGACGATGAAGGAGCGCGCACGCGAACTCCTCATGAAGACACTTCTCACTCCGTTGCTCACTGTCACACGCCGCTTAGCCTAGACTGCCGCCAGTCCTGCACGTCTCGTTGTCCTTGCCATGCAAACAGGAGCGACAACTCTTCTGCGCTGACGGCCTTGCAAGCAGCGATACGAGCACTGACGAGCGCAATTCGTGCAAAACTGCTTTGTGCAAATACTTGCAGCTAGGCACTGCTCAACATGCGTGTGCCTTCTTCGATGTGTTCAAACCTTTGAAGATGCTGCGCAAAGCCTGGAAAAGTTTAGGCACGTGTCGAAAATCATGCACGTGCATGGCCCAGCCTCCACTACTGGTGTCGTCGTCTCGCTGTCAAGGATGAGACGTCTGAGGCATCAAACTGAGATCAATTCTGAGGAAAGCTAAGAAAGTGTGATGCCTGAAGCCGTCGACATGGAAGAGGCATTGCAGCCACGCATTCATGTACCAGGTGTGGCCCAGGTTCAGCAGGCCGACTTTGTCCTGCAAAAAAGCTTTCCATACTCGTTACGTCTATCCGTGGAAGCTTCGGCATTTGGATTTTGCCTCTACCCTACCCTCACCTCCCTTCCCAGCACCGATGGTGGACTGGACCGCTTGGCCTTCAAGAGCGCAAAAGCTTAAACCGCTGGTCAACGATTGCCATCCGCGACCGGGACCACTGCAATGGCCTTCTGGTATTACGGCACCGTGCGGAGAGTGTGGCATGATACCGCATGCACTACGTGAGTACCAACAAGCATTTGTACCAAGAGACTGTGCAACATATCTTCGTACAAGGTATTCACGCAGATTCAAGTCGGACCAAATGCGTCCTGGAGGATACATTATCATGCTCTCAAGCGCAGTGGACAACAGCAAGAACAACTGTGAGCTATTGGCGCAGTGGTGGGTAGCACTGTCAAGCATCACATCTGCATCATACTCTACTTAGAACAACGGGGCAAGCGAACCACTCCACACCACTCAGCAACTGCAGAATGACTTTCACCGGCCCGTGAGAGCGCAATGTGGCACCGCCCAACCGGTAGAAGTCACCAGGATCTGATCGGCCTCTTTCACTCTACTGCATAACCGAATGCAGTGCAACATAGTGCAACGATGTCTGGATGAATACCGCGGGACCCACCATGACACATGCACTGTGGGGAACGTTGACGTTAGGAGTCGCGATGGGTGCGACAGCAAATTCGACGCAAAGCAATCCTCGATACTTCCATCAAACATCCACTAAACAGTGCACACGGTTCCTCTTCCTCACATATCAAAGCGTCATGTGCGTGGCAGCAGCCAGAGTACCCACTGCTTGTGGCTACATGCCCGCTGCCTCTGTGCACGAGGCTTGGCCTCGAGGACATGCCGTTCGGAAGTGTTTCATGGTACACTGAAGCCATCGCTTGCCAAGTTGGGAACCGGTGCCGGAGGCATTCTTCTGTTGCAACCTGGCAAAGATCACTTTGAGAGCTTGCAGGCCCCTGCCACAATGCAGCACGGTGCAGCGAACCAGGTAAACAGAGTAAACTTCAACAAGTCCATTGATCAAGTAGCCTGCCGGAGCCGAAGATGTTTCCACCTTGCACAGGGGGGGGGTTGAAGCCGAACTAGCTGCCATGGCAACTGAACTTGGCACCAGCAAGAGCGGCACCCCGCCTCCTTCCTCTTGTCTCTGCCTCTCCTCATCCTCCTCCATATGCGCACTTTCCTGCACCAGGTCTTTTCTGATAATTATTCTTGTTCTATGCGGCCTCCCCGAATCGATTCCATAAGATCCCTTAGCTTTAGGTTTCCGGTTCGACACAGCAAGACAGGCCTGCATGCAGTATCATAGCATCACTACAGACAACTTGCCGGACCTGTCCCGACATTGTCAGCCCAGCTCTACAACACGCCTTAGGGTGATAACAACCCGCCCGAGTGCTTCAGTTGCGACCATGCTTGCAGTGACATGGCATGCTCATATACCATGGCGCCTATATCAGACGTTGGGGAGGCATAGAGTGGTAGTACCTGAATCGTACAGACTGCAGATACCCCCCCTGCCCCTCCGGGCCCAGATTAACGTGACTGGCCTCTTCCTGCGAAGCGGACGGGTAAGACGTAATGTTGTACGTTTAATTCTGAATGACTTCACACTGCAAGCGTTGTGAACGATTTTTGGAAGATCCAAGCAGAACTGTCCGTTCCTGAGTCCTCACCTGAGGTGTTTGCCAAGTGCCCGTTTTGTGGGAGATTTCCCTTCGGGCTTCCCGAGGCGCCATCCTTCGCAAGCTATACGGCCGGTGATTTTGGGGTTCAATCCTTTGTGGTTGAGGGTTCGTTTGGGACCTTCCAGGGTCAGGCCAACTCCTTTGCAGTTGCTCGCTGGCGGTTTGCTGTCTGCTTTGAGGTAGTGGTAATGGCACCGAGCTTTCTTACAAATTGATCTTGGTTGTGAAAGTTGGGGTGGACAGCTCGAGATGGTCGTTTCGGCTTTTTTTTGCCTCTGCCTATGCTTGGCTAGACATAGACGGAGTCCGGAGGGCAGTAGTTTTTTTTTTCGGCGTTCCTGCCACGGTCCTGCAAGGTAAACAGGAAACAAGAAGTGTTGAGAAGAAGGGGGTATCCTCAGCCCAGATAAGCACGAGTGCTGAAAGAGACCGCAACTGCAACAACATGTTTCCAGACACATGCATGTAAATCTTTCAGGTTCAGTTGCTGCATGTAGCTGCCAGCCTGGACGTACACCAGAACGTACCTGCGAAGCGGGAATGTGTGCATACATGCAGCATGTGCGCTAAAACTCAGTGGAGCACGGTGTCGCCCAACCCTTCAACAACATGTTGCTCACCTTCGTCACCTGAGGTTCAACAAGCTTAGGCAAGCTTGCGGCTCGGTCCAGACTCCTCGCCAAGATGCGTTGTGGTCGTCGCAATTGAAAACGGTGCCTCCTTTCCTTTGCGCAGTCCGGCATGTCTATGGAACACAAACCTCCAAAGGCAAACGAGAAGATCTCGAGGGCTTGATTTAAGTCACCTCGCTCGGTCGCTGGCAGTATGTACGTAAAGTAGTGTCCGCCAGTAGCGTTTCCACTGTGGACAGCCACTGCAAGGAGGACGTAACGCCTCAGAGTCGTGCACTGTCATACATAACGGACTTTCGCACTGTGTCGTGATGCCATCTCCGGTAAGCTCCTGACCCTCCGCCAAATTTTGTCAAATCCAGCTCCCTTTTCACATCTACCCGGTTGTTCAACTTCACCTGGCGACGCCAGCACGGCAGAACTGCCTGAAGTGCTTGCTTCCCACCATACGATTTCCGTCGAACTGGAAGCGCTTCAGGTGCAGGGTGAGGACCGGGGGGAACGTCACAAAACGGATGGCCTGACCACCGACAGCAGACTGAACATGGCCACGGAAGCTTGCTGCACAGGCTGCGCCTTCTGTGCCCGCTGCTTTCCATAGCCTTCAGCCTAGGAGGTCTCTCTGTGCAATGACACACCATGGCACCATGCGTCTTCCGAAATGGCCACGGTCTGCGGCGACTTCAATCCGAGCAGCTTCGTAAAGGTTGTCACCGTCAAGCATGTCATCCGCAATGTACTCTTGCATGGACTCCTGGAAACCCAACGGGACAAGCAACCAGCCTAGCCACTGGCCTGCTCTCCCAAACTGATCCTCTATGGTCCGGAGGTCGTTCCCTTTCTCGCTTT